ATATATTGTGAAAGGAAATAATAAAAGCATTTGTGTGTTTACAACTCTGATAAGATACAGCCAGATTCACCTCAGAAATAGCTTTTTAATTTGTACTCCCAGCAAAGACATGGATGTTTATTCTTCCACAACTTCAGCAAGATTGACATTTTTATATTGTTATATGTGTGGTATTTGTGATTGAAGCAAAGAGCCTCACAAATGCTAGCCAAGCACTCTACCACTGTGCTGTACTCAAAGCCCCAGACACTTTCATGACATTTTGGTTATTCTAACATGTACTAAAATATTGTCACTTTAATTTGTGTAATACTGAGCAGCATTTCATGTGTATAGGTAATGTATCTTTTTTCTTACATTTTTCTTCCCTTTCCTAATCAGTTGTTTGCTAATGCTTAATTTTGCTTGTTGAAATTGTTTTCAGTGTTGTTTACTGGTGCCTTACTATGTATACTGTGTACATTCATATACATATATATGCATATTATATCACACTAATCTGTCAATGTTGTGATCTTTGGTTTTATATCATGCTTAGAGAACATGCTTCTAAACCAATAATGTAAGAGTATTTCCTACATTATTTCTTGGTATTTTTATATTTTTCCCCAAATTTCTAACAATCTCTTGCTAATATTTATTACTGAAAAGTCCATTCTTTCCTCAGTATTTGAAATGTTGTTTTATAATGTTTCAAATCCCCAGTTATGACATTTAAAGGTAGTATTCTTCCCCAAAGACTTCTGTTATTTAATTTTTAAAAGTCTCACCATGGTATCTCTAAGCTATTTGTTCTGCCACAGTAGTATGTCTGAATACTCTTACTCTAGTGTTCCACTGGTTTAAGCACAACAGTTTAACAGCATAAATATTGGCCTAAGGTGACATTTATAATGGATACCAAAGATGTCTGATGCAGCATTGTTTGAAGTAGCAAAACACTGCAATTGATCTAAAAGCATACTAATTGTCATTTGGCAAAATAAAATGTAATGTGGACTGTGTCACTAGTTAAAACGTCACTGTGAAAGAAATCAAAATTTTATGAATGGATACAAAGATATTGAAGGCAATTTGTTAAATAAAAAGAGCCAGTTGCAAATGTTATCTTTTTACCATATTTTTTACACAGAAAACCACAAATTACTATATATATATATATATATCCATATACATTTTTAAGTCATGTAACTTAGTAATATAAATGATGTAAACTGTGAAGAGTGATTAGGGACTGAAAAATAACTGAGGGTAGGTAGGAAGAAAAGGAAAACTGAGCCTACTATATACTATATAATATAAACTGCTTACAAGGTTGTATGTACATTTCAATTATGTGACTACAAATTTATAATAAGATATACATATCATGATTTTTCAGTTAGCTGTATAATTATTAGATATAGCACCCAGACTTGTTTCCCTCCCTTTTTCTAGGTTCTTTTTGGTACTGGGCATCGAACTCAACTTTGAGCTTGCTAGGCAGGCACTTACACCCCTGGCTCCCTTTTCTTAGGTTTTGCCCATCCTTCAAGGTTCAGGTCTTTTTCCTCTCTGAGGCCTTTTCTATTTCTGGTCATCCTGGCCCATGCTTTCTCTGAGCTCCAACTGACCAAAAAGCATAGCTCCCTACCTTTAGCCCTTAAACATTCTCTAAATGGCCTCATGTAAATGGGTTTTGTGTCTACCCTTTTAATTTCTCTTCCACCAGGGAAGTGTCTTGCTCTGAAACCCAGCTTTCAGAAGGGAGAAAAATAAGAAAAACATAGGGATTCCACGAGAAAACACAGCTGTCAAAAGACTGAAAAATGCTTTTACCTCTTCATGGCAAGCAATGGGTCATTTGATATCCAGATTCCAAATATTAACATCTTTTGTACATGCAGGTGTCTATCACAAATGAGTGTGAATAAGAATTCCTACAGTTTGTTGGAATAAACCTTAAATTGGTCAACATCAATTTTCTCTTTTAGATCTTGGAGTATCACCTTTAACAGACTTTTGTAGTCTGAACAAACAAAGAATCATAAAAACTATAAGCAGACCGAGTATGGCGTGATCTGCTAGTTAATATTAATAGCTCCTAGAAATTTCCTTATAAATATGATAATATACTTAAAGCCTTTCTAGATTGTTAGGACAAGCCAGAAGTCATAATTTCAGAATTCAGTTCTAGTAGTAACTGCTGCTTCTGGAAAACGAGGAGAAAAACCAACAATATTAATTTTTTTACAATTTCAAACAGAAGTACAAGTGTACAGAGTCCACCAAAAAATGTATACACACTTTAGGAATGAAAAATAGTATGATATATATGGTGTTACCCTCACATGGAAGACCAGAGGATGTCCTACACTGTGGAAAACCCACTAAACTCCTGGTCCTTAGAGATGAAACTGAAAATGCATGTGCACCAATCTCAATGAACAAGGTTAGCGAAGCAGCAGTTTGCTGTACTAATAAATGTCTACAAAATAATGGTTATCACTTTGAGCACCTCTTGTAATTGTAGAGGGCAAAGATAACTTGTGTTAATCTTATGATGCCTCAATAAATTTAGTATTAAAATATTTATACAAGTCTTTTCTTTTCCTGAAGCATATATACATTTTTTGGCAGACACCATATAAACCAGCATGAGTCAGAATGAATAGCCTTAATTATTAAAGTAAACATTTATATATATGCTAGGCACTGTCCAGTGTAACCCCTTCAATGATCCTATAAGGAAGGAACTGCTATTACTATCAATTTTATTTTAGAAAAAGAAAACTTAGGTATAAAGTAAGTGTCATGCCCAGGATCACACAGTAAATGCCAGAGCTAGGATTTAAATTTGCATATCAGTGTTACTCTCAATCACTGAACTATGCTGCACATTCAATGTCCCAAAGGAAAACAAACATAATATTTAGATTTGTGGAACTACTATAGGAGATCAATTTCAGTATTTTTATTAAGGGTTGTATGATTACACAGCCCCTGTTGTTTATTTATATTCTATACTGGCAGCATCAACGGATTTAGCTCCATCTTTCCCTTCTCAGAATTTAGAGTACTTTCCCAGATAGGAGCTTATTAATCTTCACGTTAGGAAGGCTATTTGGTATTATTTCATTTGAGAAATAAGGCCTGGAGGAAGAAGGCACTTACCCAAGATTTCTGTAATCAAGGATGGTTCTGCAATCAGGATCAGATCTTCTGATCCTTACTGTATCTCAAACTTAGTTTTTCTGATGGTGATCTAAAAGGTCAAACAAAAGGACAGAAAAGAACATAAAAAATTATGAAATAATGGTTTTCTTCTCCATCAGTCAAAGCAATTTTATCACACACAAAGGGTGCCAGAGCTGATTAATAATATACAAGTGTTTTTTCTTTCTTGTCATAGTTTCAAATTTACTTTATTGTAAATACATTTAATTTTTGAAAAATACTTTTATTAAGGATAATTTCAAATAGATAAAACTGTAGAGGGAATAGTATTACAAACCCACAGGAATCCATCAACCAGCTTCAACAATTACCAACTGAAGGCCATCTTGTTTCATCTGTAACCCCACCCACTTGCTCCCCCCCTCCCGGATTTTTTAAGCTCACCAAATAGTCGAATTCTATATTATGGAAAATTTCTAACATATACCAAAGAAAACATATGACTATAAGAAACCTCATCTGCCTATCGTTCAGCATAAATGATTAATTTAAGGCCCTAATTGTATTTCATTTACACCCCTCACCATTTCTCCCTATCGCTAAAATTATTTTGAAGGAAATCCTAGTCTTCAGCGTATTTTGATGCCAATTCCAGGCATTATTTAATACACAGGAATTTTATGCATTTCTACAAAATAAAAATCAATTTGAAATCGTAACCATAGTATCACTACAACCTCTAAAAAAATGAGATCAATTTCTTAAATATCATCAAATAGAGAATCCGCGTTCAATTTTCCCGATGCATTTTAAGATTTTTACAGTTGCTGCGTTCGAAGCACGATCCAAACAAGGCCTACTCATAGCATGTGGTTCATCTCCAGCTCGCTCTCCATCTCCCTCCTGTATTTTTTTTAACTTTTCAATTTAGGGAAATTCCAATCCTCACTATTTTGAGGTGATTCTCAGGTTTCAAATTACTTCATCGGCAAAGGATAATATTTTTATCACTAATTTCTTCTAGGCAAGTTGATATACAAAAAAGACACTATAATGAGCGTATTTACGCAATTTATAAATTTTCTCATTCTGCTATACAAACATTTCCCCCCTTAACGATAGCTCGTATCTGTAGAAGCCAGGCTTCATTTTAAGTGCCTTACACGTACAATTATACAGTACACGTCTCTGAGGTAAATACTATTATCACCATTTTACAAACATGGAAACCGAGACACAGAAAGAACAGGAGCCTTGCCCGAGCTGGGCGTTGGCGAGCAGGAATTCAAATCCGCCTCTGGCTGACTGTAAAACCACAAGAGAATCCTGTCTCTAAACCCGACGAAAAGAGGAAATCATCGACTCTTCTCCCCACCCCCACCCCGAAACCTGAAACGAGAATCCAGTTCTTTCCAGCAGGACGTGTGATCACCGCCGTCCCTCCAACCGCCATAGTAAATCCAGGTTTCTCTGGCAACTGATATCCATAGGCAGACACGTCACCCTGGAGGCGGGCTTATACCCTCCAGCCAATCATAATCGTCTTCTCTGAGTTTTAGAATGTTCCATAACCAAACGATTGGATTACTAACCTTACGTCAGCAGTGACACTGCGCCGCAGTAAAGGCGGGTGCTAGCAACTTGCTTCTTCATGGTTAAGGCACGGCAAACCAATCAGCTTCCTTCTTTGCTGCAGACTCTGTCCAATGACGTTTGTCCTTTTAGGTTCTTAGCCCGTCCTCCCAAAGCGCGACAGCCGTTGGGTCATAAGTCTATAGGGCAGAGTGTTTCACGTGGCCTAGTTTCACGACCCAGAGTTCCCCTGACCAGAGGGACTTTTTTTTTCCTGCTCTCTCTTCTGCAGGGAGGGATTATGGGTTTCTGGGTTCCCCCACCCCACGGGGAAAGGAAGTGTCTACGTGGCCTACTGAAATAGGATAGGCGGAAATGAGCTAAGGTTCCCGCGAGTGGGGAAGCGCGAGGTCAAATCTAGGGCCACGCCCCCGAGGCTGTTGCGCAACTCTCGGAGAAGGACGAAAAAGGCCCAATGGAGGTTTTGATGTGTGTGCTAGTGGGGGTGGTGAGTGTCGCGGGAGAATGGCGTTAGGGCCAGGGTGTCTGTGCGCGGGTAATCTCGCGCGGCTGTCGGTTTGGAGTGTAAACGCGCGTCAGCCCTTGTGGCGCCGGAGGTGGTGGGTGTGCGCAGGCGTGCGCTTCTAGCTTCAGGGTGTGCGTGTGCGGAGACCTGTTCTAAATTGTTTTTTTTTTTTTACTTTTGTGTGTTTGAAAATTTTACTGAAAAGGAAAATAAGGCAAAATTACCACAATAGAAATAAAGGACTTTTGTTAGAATTATATCAGCCTTCCCTACTGATTTTAGTCCCAATATAATTTTTTCCACTTTTATTTCTATGCCAAAATCCTGTTCTAAATTATAGTCCTTCAGTGCTTAAAAGCCACCCACATTAGCAATTCATTCCCACATTAGCAATTCTAAGGAGGCGATGGCTTTCAAGATCTTAACCTTCTTTGTCCCCGCCCCCTTTCCAATTCTCACAGAAATATTTTCTAATGAGAATACAGACTTACTCTCCTCTAGGGACGCCCCCGATTTTTGCAGAAGCTTTCTCTTACTTTCAGTCCTGATCTCCAAGTATTATGCAAATATGCACTGTTGATTTTCCAGAAAGTTCTCTGCATGAGGTTTATATATCTGGAATTTACCACTAGATGCCGCCAAATCCCAGCAAAGGATTAGCTGTTTGTTCTTGGAATTACGGCATTTTGCCACCCTCCCCATTTGCCAAACTCCAGATGTTATCTTTTCATTCCTAAGGAAAAATAAAACTGACTTCTGCAAACTATCCCTATTAGGCGGAAGCTTATAACAATACAACTCAAATATTTTTACTTCCTTTTTTTCCTTAAAAATATATTCCCCAGCATCCCTCTCTTCTTTTTTCCTGCATTTTATAGTAACAGGTTTGATGAATGGCTCTAAATACTCAACTGATGAAAATCTTAACCCTTTTTTGAATATTTTCTTCTCAAATAGAATTTCCCCAAAAGAAAGTACAGTAAAGATGATTAGTCATTCAGTAAAGGTAGATAATGCAGAGGTAAAAGATCTCTGGTCTTGAAAACTGATATTTCTTTCCTTTAAAATATTTTATCAGATATGTTTATTTGCACCCTATTTTCTACAATGTACTGCTAAATTTTATTGTGTCTCTAGCGTCAGAAACTTAATTGTAAACCCTATTTCACCTGTGATCCTGGGCAAATTTATGTTGTGATTCTCACTTTTTGCATGCTTACTGTATTTTACATGCTGTGTTAATCCATTACGCAACTATTCCTATTTTCTTCACAAAAATTCTACTAGATTGGTACTACTGTATTAAAATGAAATAAATAATAGAAATGAAACCTTTCCGTTATAAATCATACCTATTTCTACATAGAAGATGAAGAAGTTTTAGAGTAGTAGCTCCTCAGTGTTTTTCGAAACAGACCAAAAGCATCAGCATCATCTGAGAAGTTGTCAGAAATTCAGATTCTCAGGTCCCACCTCAAACCTAATGAATCATAAATTCCTGAAGTGGGGATTGGCAATCTGTTTTGATACAAACTACTCCCAGTGAATCTAATCCACGCTGAGACTTGAAAACCACTGTTTTTTTTTTTAAGAGAAGAAAAAGCAAAACAGAAAAAAGTGTAGAAAAAACTTTTAAATAAGAGCAGAAATGCTGTGGTTATTTTTATACGTACCACTAGAGGGTGCCACAGAATATAAAGCAAAAGAATAATTGATGTATCAATTCTGAGACACCCAACATACTATCGGTCCTGTTGTACAGATGATAGTACGTAGTATCGGTCCTGTTGTACAAATGTTTAGGGGTGTCAAGTTATTTTTCCAAATGCAAACAACGAGTATGGGGACCGGGATTAGTACTTACTTGTTCAACTGTAATGGTTTTCAGAGCCTCAAAACACTACATTTAAAGGTATCCCACCCTGCGTTGGCTATTGTAGTATCAAGGAAAGGGAAGAAAAACAAACCATGTAAGTGGTAATATGTTGATTTTCATAGCCTTCCTCCTCTCCATTCTATAATACAGTGTCACATGAGTGTTTCTTTTTTTGCTTTTTTTATTTTCCAATAGTCTACTCTTGAGCTTTTTTTCATTTACATTTGAATCTTATGTATAATGGGTGAATCAGGGTGGTAAGGAAACAGACTTGTTGAAATCCTATTGTGGGCTATACTATGTTGCTGTATACCAATTAATCCTAATAGGCCCACAAATTAGGTGACAGTTATTTTATATGTGAATAGAGTCTAATTTTTGTTTGGGCATATGACTTATAAGTAATGGAGCTTGAATAATTCTGTATAGCTCATATTATTATACTAAACTTTCAAGAACACTGTTTTGAATTCAGTGAGCCTTTTGCTATTTAAGTGACTTTTAACAAGTTCTCAAGTTTTTCCAAGCCTCAGTTCCATACACTATATGTATTAAATGAAAACAGGTATTTATGCTTTACAATTTAGAGCTATACTGTCCAACACAGTAGCCTCTAGAACATGTGGATTTTAAGTTTTAATTAAAATTAAGTAAGTTTTAAAAACATTCAGTTCTTAGTTGTACCAACCACATATCAAGGGCTTGGCAGCTATGGTTCTTGTGGCTAGCACCTACTCTAATAGTAGAGATACAGAAGGTTTCAAGTAATTAACCCAAGGTGTTATAACAAGCTGTCCACATCTGACTGTTCTTCCAACATTCTAAGAGACATATTGTTTTTTTGGTCTTTTTGAAACAAGGTTTCACTGTACAGTTCAGGCTGGCCTTGTACTCATTTTGTAGCCCACGCTGGCCTCCAGCAAGCAGTGATCCTCCTTCCTCAACCTCCCAAGTGCTGGGATTACACCCACCCGTGCCCAGCAGGAGACCTATTCTTATGGTACCGAGATTTTAAGACTATTAGTTTTAGAGTCCAAGAGGTAGCAGATAAAGGCATAGGAACTGAGTGCTCCATGTGTGCCAGGCAGCAAAGCGCTCAGCCCTTTACATTTGTTACCTCTCAAAATCCTCACTGAAGTACAGAGATGTTGAATACTAACACCAAATTGCTCAGCAAGTAAATGGCAGAGCAAAATATTTTTTTTCTCTCACTCTAATGCCCAGGCTTTTTCCTCTTAACATCACCCTATCCCTTCAATATGAATAGCTGTGAATATTCTCCTGCTGTCTATACTTACTGATGGGATAAGACTTCAGCAGATTCCTGATTTAAAGTGAGTTCTCTGAAAATGTGAATTATTCTTTGACTTTGCAGCCGAGCAACTGTCTTCACAATCTGCTTCAACTGGAAGGCAAAAATAGTTTAGATTTGTTTGGTTCCAAGGCCCAAAGCCAAATAGAAACTTTGGCCCCTGCCTTCCCCAAACACCTAATGGCTCCAAGAACCCTGTGTTAATTTGCAAGGTTTCCATTAGCTCGTAAAATGCTTCAGTGCTAGTTAAAAATACATGGCACCTAGGGGCAGACAAATTGTTAAGAAATATTCACTGAGTGGAACAATGAGAACGATGGTTCCCCCGCCCTGCCTCTGGGCTGCTGCAATCTCACCAGGGCAATTGGAAAATAAATTTCAGCTCGGATTTGCGCTCTCTTAGTTGAGTACTGTTGTGTAGGGTGCAACCTACCAGATCTTATTGGCTGGCCTTGTCTTACCTTGTGGCTATGAGCTATCCCAGGTCTGGAATGTAGTACTTAGTCTGTTTTAGAGGATGAGGAGAGACACTAGTGTCCTCCCATGGCTTTTGAGTAGTGGGTAAAATTGGGTATTGTAAGGTTTATTTGATATTTTAAAAATTTGTTTCTGCTGGGGATATAGGTCAGTTGGTAAGATGCCTGCCTAGCATGTGTAAGGCCCAGGGTTTGGTCCCCAGCACTACCAAAACATACCTTAAGGTGCCAGGGATATAGCTCAGTGGCACAGCACCTGCCTGGCAAGTGCAAGGTCCTGAGTTCAATTCCCAGTACCAAAATACATTTTGTTTCTAACAAATGAGATATTTCTAAAACAGTGTTTGCTTAATGTAAAATGTTAAAATGGTATTTCTATAATGAGGCTGTATTTATACTTGCTTCACATCATAGGAATTTCATAAAACCAGTCCAGAATATTAGTCTGGGTTAGGCTAGTTTGCTAGTACATAACAGGTAGAGCAAGAATTGGAAAAGATCATAGAAAATTTTTTTATCTTTTTTAGGGGTATCTATTTCCTCCAATTAACCTCTGCCCCATGACTGACCCATCCATTTGATAGAAAGGTTTTTTCAAGTGTGTAAAAACACTGAAAAACCAAACCTAATTATTGAAGTTCTTGGATAATATTGGGATGCCAGACCTGAACATTTTCTTTTATTTTCCCCTTGATACAGCTGGCTGACTTCATGGTTATGTGAATGACACATTTCACTTGGAACTATCATGTGAAGTTGTCCATGTTACATATCAACCAAGAGATGAAGACTGATTTCTACCTGTGTTTGTTGATGCCTATAATTTAAGTTTGCCTCAAGAGGATGCTTTCAGCCTTTTTCCAGAGGTAAGTTTATTTATGCTTATAACTTCTACCTGTGGTCCCAGTTCACTGGAAATAATAAACATTATGGCTTTTAAAAATGTCAACTGTTGAAGAAGTCAAACTATACCTTCCTGTGAGCCAGGCTCTGTCATGTGGATTGGGAAGAGACTCAGCGAGAAGACAAACTATGTCTTCCCATGAGCCAGCTGGTGTGTGGGCTGGGAAACCAGAAACACAACCTTCCCACCCCCCACCACCCTGGTATGCAACTGGCTGATTCAGAGGACTCAGGGTGATAGCAATTGGGGTGAAAGGAATAACTTCATTCTTGTATTGTTTGATTCGCTTTGAAGGCCTGGGGCTGGTAGTCTGGGCATCTATTAGGGGATGGCACTGTGCACTGTGGCAACTGTGGGGGATTTCCTTCTGTCTTATTTTTTTGTCTTTTTTTTTTTTTTGGTACCGGGATCGAACTCATGACCTCACGCTTGCCAGGCGGGCACTTAGGCTGCTGAGCTAAATCCCTAGCATTCTGTCTTATTTTTGAAGTCCAATGTTTTGTTCTGTTTTACTATTTTGTTTTAGTCCTATATCTGGTAACCTGAGAAACTATTTTGAAGATAATAATATACAGTATAACAACAATTGCTAAATTCCTATCATTTTGTTTGAAAACCTGTGTAACTATTGTTGTTTTATAGTTGTTGTCATTTTGCTTTTGTTGTTGATTCTTTTTGTTGTTGTTGTTATTAGGTTTGTTTGCTTCTTGATTTTTCTGTTTTTCTTTTTTCTCTAAAATAAAATTAGGTTTGTTTGCTTCTTGATTTTTCTCTAAAATAAAATTACCAATGTCAACTGTCATTTCTTAAAAGGACAACAGAAATACTTAAATTTCTGTCTAAATCATTAAAGCATATGGGGGTTTATTGTACTATTTTCCTACATTTGTATATCTTCATTTCTATAGTAAAACAACTTTAAAAATAGAAAAAAAATTAAAATTTCTTACAATCCCAGGGAAAAGAATACTTTCAGGTTTTTCTTTAGAATAACACTTTATTAGCTAAGGGCAGGGTGAAATACAGCCCTTCAATAGAGATGGACTAGGAGAAAATTAGGGAAGTGGGAAGTTTAGATTTTAAAACATCACTGGCAGAAATTCCGATTTGCCAGAAGGGGAATCTCCTCTTGCCTGCATCCCCTCTTCATCAGAACCCATAGGAAATGCCAGTCTAATGCGCTACTGGTAATGAAAGCAGTGTCTCATATCCCTTTGGCATTTGGGAATGTAGAGACATTGCAAACCATAGATACAGGCCTCAGTTAACTGGTGAAAACCATCTTAGCAAGTGGGCAGAAGAACAGGAAAAGGGAATCTGGGGCAGAACTAGGCAGAACTAGAACATGAGCAGAACTAGGACTGTAATGGGGCTTTGTATTGACCCCAGGTAAGTACTGCAGAAGGCAAAGCTGCTGAGGAAGGAAATGACCGAGTAACTCAAAATGTGATAGAGACTTGCTCAAGACTTTCTGAATATTCTTTTCTTGTTTTAGACAGGACCTTACTGTATAGTTCAGGCTGGCCTTCACCTTATTATGTATCTCAGACTGACCTCAAACTTGCTGTGATTCTGCTGCTTTAGCCTCCTGAGTGCTTGGATTACAAGAGTGTGCCACCACACCCAGAAAGACCTTCCACGTATTCTTGGGAGATACGTCCCATCTGATTTGCCGTTTTTAAAACAATACAAAGCCATCTGAAAAGCAAAATGCATGTATGTGTGCACACGCATGCACATACAGTTAAAGACATGGAACCTGACCCATTTGCAAAGGCAGGTTACATAAGCACACATTGAAATTATGTGGTTTTTTGCTTTGTTCTTATGTTTTTATTATGTGACTAAGTAAATGAGGGATGTTTGTACACTGCCAGGAGTGAGCAGATATGGTTAGAAATGGGGGCACTATTTAGAGCATGGAGACCTCAGAGGACATGTTGTTTGAAGGCTCTGAGTTTGAGACAAAATGGTTCAAAATTGAGGACAGAGAATGAGAGCAAGAACAGTTCCTAAAAGGTACAAAGCTGAGATTCACCCGCTGCTCCCAGGCCAGAGTTGTAGTTGGGACGTCAGTGGGACCCAGGCGGGTACATGCAGCTTTCAATAGAGCTGGTCTGTGAAAGTTGGCTGAGAGGACAGAGGATGATTGATGTTTGCTCCAGAATGGGGCTTTCAGCTGTGCTCACCGCCTCACCAGGCTCCCAGCTGTAAACAAAAGTCCTGGCCCTTCATGGCACTGCAGAGCAGTCCAGGCTGGTGTAAGTCTCTGAGGACAGCTAGACCATTTTCTCATCCTGGATGAAAACCAGGAGACAGAAGAAACAATAGAAGAGGGGAGGGGGGCAGAATTGCAAGGGGATGAGAAGGAACAACCAATAGGAAGAAGCTGTCAATTTCAGATCTTAGATCTCTGGAAGAAAGTTGTAGATATCTTATGGGGCTAGCAGGCCACTTCCCTGTATCAGCTTCACAGAAAGTGAGTTACTAAAGGAATACTTCAGAGGCACTTGGGTAGCAATGGTGAACCTTTTAGAGCTTTTAAGAACAAATTGCCAGCTGCAGCATGCATGCCATAGGTTTGCTACCACTGTTCTACTACATCATTCACTCTTTGGCTGGGAATAAAGGTACCATACATTCCAGGAAAGGACTAAATAGTAAAAACGAGGCAAGCTTTGGCTAAGGCAGATTAGTGTGCTTTCTGGTAGGTGAAAGTCAGACTAGAGGATTGATCTTAAACTGATGTTCAAACAGAAACCTTTAAAAGTTTTCAATTCTAGGAGGAAAAAATCATGAGAGATCATTGACTTTTTAAAAATATTTTTGGGGTGCTAGAGATTAAATTCAGGTTCTTGTACATGGTAGGCAAGTACTGTATCATTGAGCTACACCCCCAACCCCTCAGAAATCACTAGATCTTAAAAATTAGAACAAAACAAAACAAAATAAAAAAGCAATCAAACAAAACACAGAAAATGCCAGCCTCAGCTTACCCCCAACTCTTGCAGTCTCATTTTCACTCCCTCGCTTTTCCTCTTATGCTTTGAAAAGCACGAGAAATCTTACTTAATTCGTCCTCCTAACCTGAGAGATTTGGCAGTATGGTCAAATGTATTTACTTCCACATGTGCATTTGTTCATTCATCTGCCATTCATTGCTCATCTCCACTGTTCCAAGAACAGTACTTTTCCTTGCTTAAATGATGCTCACAATTGAGTGAAAATTTTATACTGATCACTCATTTGATACCTTCAATATTTTGGTAGGACTTTACCTTACAATATTATAGTAAGGGAGAATTTTCTGGGCATTAGAACCTACAAAGAACTTCAATTTCAGGAGTAGACCCTCTGTACAACAGGTGACTCAGTCACACTCAAGGAGTGAATACTTACACCAATCTCCCCATACTTTTTCCTCTTTCATGTAGAGGTTAAATGTCAGGGTAGAAAATATCTGGAAGGGCTTCAGGGAGTTGACATCCCTTAACACTTAACTAGACTGAGACCAGTAATGCAAATAGGACACAAGGTGAATGTGTTATGTAAACCAGAGTGAAGAAACTAAAGGAACTACAGCAAAAGGAATCTGATTTCCCAATAAAACGGAGAGCTACCTTATATCCCGGAGGAGAGCTGAAACTAGAATGTAGGTCTAAGAAATCTTCCAAAGAGAGAGCATAGTCCTCATACTAGGACCCATGTTAGTGCCAGGGGCTCGGTTTCATCTTTAATTTAGGTTTCAGTTGGCTAGGAAACTAGCAAAATAAGATGTCAGAGAGGTGGTACACATGCATCCCTGGCACCTCCCCTTGCTTCCTTGCTTCAAGGAAGGATAAAATGAAGATATGTATACTATTTATACTTATAATAATAACTGGATATCTATTGATTAATATATCAGACATATTATCTGTGATGCTTTGAAGATGTGTTTCATTAGCTTTAATCTCTCTCTCCCTTGAATCCATTATCTTGAACATGACTCCACCAGGAGGATATTAGGAAGGAGAACCATGTAAGCAGCATATAGAAAAGAACAAGATTAATTTCCATAATTCATTGTTTTCTGTTAAGTGACCTTGGATGAAGAGGGTATATAAATCTCCTAGTGAGATGGGACAGGAAGTGTTAATTACAAAATAAATAGAGTTAAAACAAAACCAAATCATAGCCAAAATCAATGAAGTACATTTCTGAGAAACCTAATGATATATTAAGGAAAAACTACATCGTCTCCTTCCTTAAAAGACTCCCGAAGCTTAGACCAGCCAAATAATTATAACAGTTTATTTTTCTACTATGGAAGTATAAAATAAATATAAATCTAAGGAATTAATAAAGAAATTTTGGTAAGGAAGACGCTGACTTTCTAGAATTGGAGCTCAACATGACATTTTTTACATCTGTAATATTATCCTAACTGTTGCCAAGGTTTGTGTTATCCCCTTTTCTATGGAAACTGTAAACATCTAATATGGCTATCAATCAGTGGTGAGCAAGGCAGAGGTCATACCAGGAACAATTTCCTCTTTTACAAATTACCTTTTACATAAATCTGTTGTAGTCCCTAAGTCAAAGTAGTTCCAGAAGTGGGATTCTGTGGCTAATAAATGATAGTACATTTGAACATTTTACTTTTTTTGTCTATTTGAGACAGGGTCTTGCTACGCAGTTCAGGTTGCACTTGGCTTCACTTTGTAGCCAAGGCTGGTTTCAAACTTATAACAATCCTCCTACCTCAGCCTCTCGAGTGCTAGGATTACAGGAGTACGTCACCATGCCCAGTTTACTTCCTATTTTATTCTTTCACAGTTGTGAGTAAGTTGAGAAAAAAAGGGGTTACAGTTAGGATCTGTGCTTTGCGTCATTAAACCTTCAATAGTCCTGTGTTGTATGATGAAGAGATAGGATTACATGGTCTCAGGCAGGCCTTTCCAGTTCTGTTGTGCCAGTTTTTAAAATTCTAAGACATTTTGATCTGTTGAGCCAATTATCTCATGTGAAATCCCACAAGACATTGGTTTTTAAATAAAGCTGACCTTTTTTCTCTGTGTGGGAAGAGGTATAAGTAGTAAATACAGTAAATATGTTATTATGACCATGGCTCCAAGCATTCTTGCCCTACTGATAGGGCTATTTTTATAACTTGGAATTTGCTTCTATTGTAAGGCTTAGGTAAGTCATTTAATCTCTCTGAGCCTCATTTCTTCACTTCTTATATGAATTTACGATTATCTTACCTCAAATGTTGTTTTCAAGATGACATGGTAATTAAATGCTTTGCAAAATGAAAAAAGTACAAGGTCACCTAAAATTGTATGGCCTTTCATGACATATCCTTTTCAAAGAAAGTACAGTTGATAAGAACTAACACTGCAACTGGCTAGTTGAAAAAATTTTTTGAAGATCTGCAATGCTCGTTGCTTTAAAAATTATGTGGTAAACACTAATTTATTTCATGCTATGGGCTTGGTAAACACTGGCCTCAAAGTAGTTTTATGCACATGACCAAAACTCATATATAATATGTAATGTATTCAAAAGACAACTACAGTATACCTCTGTTTACAAATTTAATTTGTTTTATGATTTTGGTAAAGATGGCTGTTTTTGTGTAGGGAAGATGGCCATGATCATATTTGTCATTCAGTGTGAAATTTGCAAATGGAAGCAAATTTTTGGAACACTTTTGTATGCAAACCAAATCATTTGCAAACAGAGGTGTTCATGAATTGAAGCATAACTATAAATAATCTTGCAAGTATAAATATAGATTATGAGATATAATCAATATATTTACTGAAAGTTTAAATTTTTAAAAAAGTTATTAAAGTAAAATACATGTTGCGTTAATCTCCCACAGGCTACCCCCTCACTTATAATACACTTATCCCATCATTCTTGCTGCTTTCTAAAGCCATGCTGGAAGTCCATCTCCATGTCTTTACAAAACTGTGGTGAATGCTGTTGCTGAGTACCAGCCAGTGGATACGCAGGCTTGTAAAAGTATTACAATGTGTGCTCATCCACAGTATCACCAGACCTAGCACCAGGTGAATTCTGGGTCTTCCTGAAAGTCAAAATGACCATGAAAGATATTTTTAACTGAGTCAGGACATTAGGACAGCCACAAGAGTGAAAATGAAAACACTCATAGAAAAGGACTTCTAGAACTGTTTGAGAAATTGGCAAGATTGATGGGATAAGTGTGTTCAAATCTAGGAGAGTGTTTTGAGGGCAGGATAATGTCTTTGACTGTAATAATGGTAATGATTTTTTGACTGTAATGGTAATGTGTTTTCACTGTAAACAAAATTTACACATTTACTTTATTTTTCAGCTGTACTTCATATTCATAGAATATCACTGGAAGGCCTAAATTTGTCTGTATGTTGGAGTTGCAGGGATTTGAGAATGTTTTACAGTGGCTAGTTTTCCAGACAAATAGAAGTACCTCAGGTGGAGAGGTCAGTGGAAGACATTTAAAGGCTAGGGAACAATTCATACAAAAATACAAAATATTAGAATCAATTACTAAGCTCTGGATTCTGTGGGTGGATTATCATGCCCAAGTGCAGGATGCATTTAGAGAAGTGAAGGGGGTATGAGAGAAGAGGCTGGGAGTGCCAGCAGGAGCCAGAGAAGAAAATCTCTTGGAGGCCAGTTTAAAGAATTTGGACTTTCCCCTAGACATGGAAGGAGGATATTGAAAGACTAAAAATGAAGAAGTGACATAAACAGACTGTTTTATAGCAGTCTATTTATGATCGAATTGGTACTAGTGTGGAGGATAGGAAACCACATGAAATCAGGAAGGATAAGGAAAGAGGGAGAGATTTCAGAAATATCTGGAAAGTATACTCAACGAGAATTAGTGATTAATTCTGAGCACTGTGGAAGTTGTCAAGGTTGACTCCCATGCATCTGACTACATAGGTAGAAGCACCACTCATCAAGGTTTGAAAGATTGTAGAATGGAATGGGAAATAAAGTTTGAAAGATTTTATTTTTTGTTTGTCCCTGAACTTGTTGAGTGAATGGAGGCAGTCATTTGAGAAGTATCAGCATGCAGGTTATCCTAGCCACTGAAATAGTTGAGAACAGCCAAGCAGGAGGTGTAGAGTGAAGAGCCTTGAAGTCCAGAGTCAAAATCCTAGAGAGTAAGAAATGGCCAGAGGGACAAGAGAAGAAATCAGTGAATGAAAGTCAGGGGAGAAAAGAATTTCAAAGCAGCTATGACATTTTAACATGTTACGAGAAGTTACGAGAGAAAGGACAGAAAGGTGTTGATAACATAGCAATTAAAAAGTACTATGGGGAACATAGAGAAAGCATTTGGAGAATTAGCATGGCGAAGAAAAAAGGTACACTGCAATTCACTGAGGTATAAATAATAAAAGTAAGGATGTAGAAATGACTAATAAGCATGTATCTTTTAAGTAACTTGATGGTGAACAGAAAAAAGACTGTAGATCAATAGCTAGAGAGAATTTTGAGATCACATAGAGTGCTTTTTATTTTTTATTTTTCATTTTGGATGAAAACAAGCATGGAGACATTATACAATTTTCCAAGGTTTCATAGTTTTCAAAGCATATTATATGTTGATAGAAACAATTCAGTGCCAGTGATAGGATGACAATATATGAGAAGTTATTTTAGCCTAAGCTTTCTTTTGAATAAAGTTGACTTGGAAATTGCAAATTTGAAGTTCCAAAGAAGACCATGTATTAGAAATTTGATAGGTGTAGAAGAGGGACTATGATGATGTAGTTTGCTCATGTAATAGCTAATTTGTATTGAGTACTTACTATGTTTGAAGTTTTAAGTTAGGCACTTTGCCAGCATTGTCTAATTTATTTCACACAGCAACCCTTTGAGGTAGGTTCTGTTACTACTTTCATTTAATAGATGTGAAAACTGAAGCACAAAAGAGTTTAATAATTTGCTTAAGGCTGCAAAGTTATTGCAAGTTGGATGTTTGAGCCTTCAAATGAGGAAACTTAGGCTCCTGATGGGGTGAAGTAATTTTTCCAAGAACCTATATCTAGTGCTAGAATTATAATTTAAATGCAGGCTCTGTCTGGTACCAAAGCCTGCATGTTATCTGTTTTCCTAGATCCAGCTCTAGAAGGCAACATACTTTCTGAATTTAGGTGCTAGTAAGAATTTGCCTTTATACTAGGTAACTGATACTGAAAGCATGTACTTCTGTTTTTCCATTTTTTTTTTTTTTTTTTTTTTTGATTGAGAATCAAGCTCAGGACCTTGTGCTTGCCAGGCAGGCACTTGTGCCACTTGAAGCACATACTTCTGTTGTAATACACCATAAAGTATAATACAGCATGGGATTTGTAGGAAGTTTCATGATAAAAGCAGAGGTTGCAAAAAACAGAGCTACCCAAGAGGGGTAGCAATTGTTGAGTTCTTATATGACTTCTTCATATGGCTTCTTGACAGCAGACTTTGTCATACTTTCATGGAGAGAACGTGAGAGTGCAGTGGCTCAGATACCTTTCTTCCTCTTGCCTAAGTTTGCTAGCAAACACTTCTGATGCCATCAGCCTATATTTATAGAATATAAACATTATTCTTGTTGTGAAGTGTATTATAACAAAGAGTCAGGCTAGGAAGAACAGCTTGCTTGCTGTCCCTTCAGAGAGGGCTGTCTTTCTACCAGGAACAGTGTGTGGAGTAGGAGTGAGTGGCAGATAGTTGTACTGCTAAAATCCTAAAATCTCCAATACTGTATGCACTTATCACAACCAGTTTTCATCTGGTGATTGATTTTTGAAATAAGCCTGACACTAGTCTTCATATGTGGATTATTTTGAATGTTCAGTCAGAATAGTATGATTCTTAATTCAGTGATGCAATAACAAAGTTTTCTTATCTTCTTCACTTTGTTTCTGTCCCACTCAAAGACATGCACTCGCTCTGTATGTGTGTGTGTGTGTGTAAATTCTGTGTGATTTTATAAGCTGCCTTCTAGGTCTGTTTTTCTGCAATCAAAACACTAATATAAAGAAATGAACAGAAATCCAGGCATGGTGGCTCACATCTGTAATCCCAGCACTTGGGAGGCTGAGGGAGGAGGATTGTTGCTAGTTGGAGACCAGCCTGGGCTACAAAGTGAGCTCAAGGCCAGCCTGGACTGTATAATGAGACCCTGTCTCAAAAAGAAAAGAAAAAGAAATGAGCAGAAAAGTGGTAATGCAATGCAGATAATGCAATTGGGAGGCCATGCTTTTATTCTACACACATATATTGAGCATTGCTAGATACCAGAAGCCAAGTTATAAAAATTGCAGTACCTTCCCCCAAAGAGGCTATTCCACATTTCTTCCATTGATCCAATGATAATACTACCTAACTTCATAATTGCTGAATGGTTCCCATGCTTGATTGATTTGTTCACATTAACAGAGCAGTCTAAAGAAATTGTTAATCCAAATATACTGATAATAAATTGAGAGAGGAGGGAGGCAAGTGCCAAAGTGAGCACAAGTGAGGGCACATATAAATATTCCCAGATTCTGGAAGAAGTTTAGATATTACCATCACTCAATGAAAAGAAAAAAATAACTTTAAATCAACTTAACATTTTAAATAGAAGAGGGCCTGTTCTTTGGTGATAGGTAAGGAAAGTGCTTATGGGGGAAAGTTAGAGAAATAAATTTTATTTACTACTCTTCTTCCACAGAGAAATCTCTTTTTGCTTTGCCTGTAAATTCTGGGGAGAATAAGAGGCTCTGCTAGTGTATTAAGGGGAAACAGGAAGACAGAACAGCAGTTTTTCAAAGAGCAGGGCAAGCTGAAGGAAGACGGAGGTGCTAATCGCCTTAACAACAACCAAGGAAATGAAGCCCTTTCTCTTGAAAAAAAAATGTCTAAAAAATGTAACTCACATTAAATTTTAATAACAAATTAATGAAAACACTTATAACACTTTATGTAGGGATATTTCTCCCTTTTAAAATGCTGTTTTAAATCTTAAAATCATTTCTTGTAAGATACAGGCAGGAAATAATGTGGGTGTCTGCAGAGCTGAGAACCGTAAGAATGATGATAAATGGAAGTTACCTCCAAACAGTAAGGTTCTCTTATATCGCCCGTTGCCAATTCATTGTGGTAAGAAGGGTCTAAGTTTAAGAATTCTGTGATTGAATGTTTTGCTTTATGTCAGATGCCTCAGTGAGACCTAGCACTCCCCATGCTCCTTTATGTATGTGGCAAGAATAAGGAAAATGAAAGCCATTTATACCTGATTCTGACACCATGCATCTCCCTTCCCTACCCAGGGGCTTTAATGGAAGGGATAGTAGATTCCACCTGGCATTGCCTCTGAGTAGCTTTGTGAATTCCTTTGGCTATTATGTTGGTTGGTACTTTGGCTTCTTTGCTTCCCAGCACCAGCTGATGCCCTTATCTGAGTCCCAGTTGGGCAGGCTGTATTGCTCAGTTATGTAGCTGTCTCCAGGGCATTGTTCTTGAGACTTCCAACAGGGCAGATTTGTGCAGTTGGTCCATCTGGACAAGATCTATAACAAGAAGAGCTCTGTGCAATAAGCTCATCTCCATAGTCCACCCCCCTTTACTCACCCTGTTCGGGCTGCAGCAGCCTGACACCCCAGCTCCACTATAGAGAGTATCAAAGAGACACTCTCTCCTCTTTTCAAAGGGGTATTGCTAGTGTGGCCTCTTATTGATTGGCACTACCTGGGCAGAAATGGGAAAACAGGAGCTCTCTGCCCTTCTCAATTTAATCTCCTTTAAGCCAGTTTTAAAATTTTAATTTTGGCGCTAGTATGATAATTATCACCAATAAAAATAATTTCTAGACCTTCTTTGAATCCTCTTCTCAAAACCAGGAGAAAAAGAAGACTATCTCAGTGAACAAGAAAGAACAAACAGTAGGAAAAGGGAAAAAGAAAGCTGAGCTTTTGGTTTGATAATAGGATCTATTTTGACCATTGTTCTATTGACTTTCAATTTGGAACATCCTGAATTGAGGGGTGGGAAGGGAGAAGGAGGGAGAAAGAGATAAAGAGAGGTTGAATTTACATAGTTAATTATAATATATCCATAGAAAAGAGCAAGATATCAAAGAGATTATTTGATTATCTCTTTGTGTGTTAGCCCCGCACTTCAGTCTGTCCCATGTGCCTAGCATAGTTGGGTCACCTCAAAGGACTCAGTGTAGCAGACCAGTGCTTCCCCATATTCCAGTGATATATTAGGGCTGAAATAGGCTCTCCCATACCAACCCTCTGTATTCTGACATTTCTGGTAGTGTTATGTGACTGCCACATCTCTTCAGAGCTCTTTACTATAGAAGGAAAAACAGGTACAAGAGAAGGGTGAAAAATAACTCTGATTATGGCCTTCTAACTTCTATAGCTTCTACCCTAATGTTGGTAGAGTCATTGTTTTTCCAGTATATGGGTCCTCTATACACCTAGTTCCTCCCCAGGAACGTTGAAGCCTATTCTAGCCTGCACAAAGTTTCTTGGCACCATTTGCTAACCAAAAGAAGCTGAAAGAGCAAATTGGAATGAAAGGTTCTAAAAAGTAAAGATACTTTGGAGAAAAAGAAGAAATAAGTGAAAACAACCTACAGCAGACTGAGGATCTCACTTTACTTTTTTCTCTCTCCCTACCTTCTTATCTCCCCCTTCCCTTCTTTTTTTGTACTACTGGAGACTAAACTCAGGGTCTCACATATGCTAGGCAAGTACTCTACCACCGAGACACATCCCCGGCCCTTTTTCATTTTACAAAGTGTGTGTGTGTATGTGTATGTGTGTGTATGTTTTGAGACAGGATCTTTCCAAGTTGCCCAGGCTGGCTTTGAGCTTGTGATACTGCTGCCTCAGCCTCCCTAGTAGCTGGGATTATAGTCATATGCCACCATGTCCAACCAGATCTTATTTTTTCTTGAGCTTTCTAACATCAAGTAATTTATTTAAAGAATAAGTATTTTTTCTCTTTCTGCTACACAGGAGCGCAGTACTTCCTGTCAGCATGCTAATTAGGGACTAGAATGAACATTTCTGAGAGCAGGAAGTTTGGGTGTATCTGAAAATGCCATATTCCTGAGGGTCCAAGATTCTTTCTGTAATTCTGATGATGCTGGGCTTCTCAGGAAATTTAAACATTTGTTGTTGAGCCATATAATAGTGCCTTAGCCTAGTGTAGCCTATGACTGCTCATTCTTGTTATGAGAAAGGGAACATCTGCCTTTGCCTTCCTCTCACTGTAAGAAAACCTGACTAGATCACATAGGGCAGCGCTTGTGAAAACAAAAGGCTTCTATCTGAGCATGCAGTAGAAGAAACACAGGGCTCAATAAAGGCCAGGCCTTGGGTAGATGGTTGCCTGGAGAGGAGTGGTGCATATTAAAATGAGAAATACATGGATCTAATAACAGTGGTCTAAATATTCTGCACTGGAATAGTGGAAAACAGAAGGTGCCTGGCAAGGGCAGGAAGTCGTCTTGGCTGTAGGAACATGCCCAAGTTTTAGTTTCATGAGAAATGGGAGAGTATGAAGAAAGTTTCGATTCCGGTAGATGAGCCATCTTACTATAAGTACAGCCACCACTGGCACCATGCGGTATAGACCCATATAGTTTTGGGACTGGTAGTTGTTCTGGGAGGGAGAAAGATCAGGAAGAAATTATCCAAGTCCTTGGTAGGATCTAATGGAGTGGGAAAGCCCACCCAGGAGAAAGCAGAAAGCCAGCAGCTGGATTCTGTAGCTCCCACCCATTTCACAGCGCCTGGTGGATATCTTCTGACCGTAGCACTTTATAGACAACCCAGTAAAAGATATTAAAGATGAGAAAAGTAAAAGGGAAGACAGCCCTAGAGATGGTATCAATTCTCTTAGCTCGGTCCACGTAGAGTTTCCGCATGATTTCTCCCTCTTTTAGAAGAGGAGCTGGAGGTTGAGGGCTATAAATAGTAGAACCTTTCATTGGACCTCTATCCTTTCCCTGTAAGCAGTGGCCCAGGCCATAGCCACGGAAGTAGAAACGGCTTTCTCGAATGATGTCTTCCTCCTGAAATTATGGAAAAAAAGGCAGAATTTGAAGTTAAAACTGTAAGGCAGGGAGATAAGACCACACATAAATATCTCATAGATGATGCAGTGCAGACAAGGTGACTGAGTACATAGGCTCACATCTTTGATGGCCACAAAACTACTCATGAGGTAATCATATGCTGAGCACCTACATGTGGTAATTATGGTATATGTCATGATTCCACTTGCAGATAGGTCCCCAGCTGCTTTTTAAAAATGCATAATATCATTTAGGTCCATCTGAAACCCAATCAAGTGTCAACTATCATGAGAAGGCATGTCAATACCAAGTTATCTCTGGTTAGTAATAAACAGAAAAACAAAATGAGCAGACACTAAAGCTGTTTAGATGTAGTGAAATTTAATGAATTTTAAAATCTTAAGAATTAGATTTCCTTATATATAAAATATGTTTTAAAAATTAACTTCATGCTTAAAATTCTAAAAATTTTAAATAACCTAATGGCCTATTGAAAGTAGAATAAATGAAGTTGATCTGCTCCTGCAGATATAAGTGCTGCAGGTCAGCAACTTTGTCATAGGGGTCTGTACATTTATGATCTAAAAAGCATTCTGTGTATGTACCCCACATGCATTGTAATAAACACATTAACACAAATGTAGAATACATTTTATATAAGCACTGAGTTATGTAGCAAACTACAAAAAATCTGTTTATCTAATAGTCATCTGACAGATTAACACAACTATAACACAGCGAGGAGCCAGGAAGTAAGGACAAAATGATACTGATAAAAGAGATAGAGGTCAAACATGGTGGTTCATGGCTATAATCGTAGCCCTCCAGGTGTCTAAGCCAAGATCACAAGTTCAAACCCCACCTGGGAATTTAGTGATTTCGTGAGACCCTGTCTCAAAGTAAAAAAGAACTGGGGATTATAACTCAATGCAAAGACCCCAAGGACAATACCGCGCCCCCCCCCCAGTACTCTATACTACCATCAGAAAAGAACATGTAGTACTTATATGCAATGAAATACTACTCTGCCATTTCATTAAACTTGAGTTATTTGTAGGAAAATGGATGCACCTTGAGATCATAATGGTAAGTGAAATAAATCAAACACATAAGCTTAAATATCACATGGTTTCTCTTATATAAGAAACCCAAAATATAAATAAAAAGAAAAATTAAAAACAGATAATAGGAATATTTTGCAAAGGGAAGGAAACCAAGAGATGGAGTGTGGAAGAGGGAAAAGAAATGAAAAAGTAATTAAAATGTGTTATATACATGTGTCAGTTCCTATGAGAAATATAATCAATATGTATTGCAAACATGCACTAATAAAAAGTTGAAAAAATACAGTGAATGAGATAAAAATAATTACAATAAAAGACACATTGTTACTAATCCCCTTTAAAATATTCTACCTATATTTGAATACACTAATCTCATCATTCTTGTACCTTTTTGAAGTAGTTCTGGAAAGCTCTCTTTCCTGAGTGTGTTTACTTACATTGTTGGGGTTACCCTGATGTCTTGATTCAAAACACTTACCTTTCATGGTCATTTTGAATTTGTGGAAGATCCAGAAGTCTTACAGTTCCAGATCCAGTGAATAAGGTGGAAAAGGACATATTGTAATGTTTTTATGACCCTGCCTTTCTATTGGGTGGCACTTGGCAGCAGCATTCACTGTAAATTTTAATCACACCTTCTAAAGACACTTACAAAAGAGGAGGGGAAAACCAAAGCCTCTGAGTGATCAGTAGAGTTTTACTTATACAGAAGGTCACTGGACCCTCCCTCCCATTCAGAACCTATTTACTCTTATTTTATTTAAGACCAATACCTCACAATAAATACATTTATTATGTGTTGCAAAAATATACTAATAAAATTTTTAAAGATACAAACATGCCTAATTTTATCCCCCTCTATAGGACATAGTTAAAATATGATTTCAAAGATGGTTACAATTTTTGAGTTACTGAAGATTTTGAACAGAACTGTTTGCAGTCTCACTGTTTGAATGTCCACTTTATATGCTTTAATTTTGTAACTTGAACAAATATTTCTAAGATGACAATATGTAATCCATTAACTAGTGATTTCCTACTGTTTATTTTTTTCTGAAATTCTGTATAACTTGTACCCTTTTTCTGCTTTTTTTTTTCTTTTTCTCCTTAAATAATTTTTTAAAAAAGCTTATGCTAATATTTTAATTCAAATAAAATATCCCCCTGTAACATGTCCTGGTTTACCCAGAATCAAGGAACTTTTTGAGTCTTTCAGTGCTGAAACTGGTGAATTCCAAAACAAACCAGTTAGTTACCCTAACTTAGATAGTTACTATAAAGGATGACAACAAAATATATGTATATTGTATGAATATGACATTTTTAAACTGTGTATCTTAGGATGTTTATATTGAGGCTTTTGTAGCTATGGTAGCACATTGAAAAGTAGCTTCATAGATTAGGTATTGGCATGGTACATCCTTGAAAAATTTGATTAATATATCACCAGAAGTTGACCTATCATAAAGATTGCCTGGTAATGGGTACCAGGGACAGGCAAACTCAGGACAGAATTTCACCAGCAGATTCTATCCCTCTTTCTTGTTTGTGGACTTACAATACAAACTTGAACACTGGTCTAATTCACTGCTGTCTCTGCAGTGCCTAGCACTGTACCTAGAACCTGACAGGTGTTCAGTAGATAGTATCTGTTGAATGAGTGAATGAATTAATGAATCATGAGCTTCTGAATATAGGAAAAGGAATGGCTTTTTGGTTTTGTGAAGCCAGCATCCTCTTGGGGGTCTCAAACAGAAGAGTGTCTTCAGAAGAGAATTTCACTGAATTACAAACCACTTGGTAGGAAAACAGAATTACTCCTTCACCCACTCTGCACTATGTTATGACACCCTTTGGCCTCTAGAAAGGGAGCGACACTTTTGGTACAGAAAAGAATCTATGTTTGCTCACCAGATGGCTTTGCTGCCATATCTTTGATTTGTTAATAGTTTTTGTACAGAGAATTGTATGCATCCAGGTGAGGCAATTAATTATTGTGGTTGTACCTTTGAACCTGAGTTGTTGTAGTAGTTGGACAAATTTAGCCCTTTGCTTAAAGTTATTCTCATAGCTTCTTGTACCAAAGGGCTTCATTTTTACACAGTTCCTACGGAGAGGTTTTCTGGGCCCATTATAGAGATAAAGAAACAGAGGCAAGCAAAATATCTTCCAAGGAATCCCTCTTGCTTTTCAGTTTAGCTTCTCTCAGCTTATTTGTTTCCTATTGTTCACCTGTCCTCTGGAACAGAATATACAGTACATATTTGAAAAAAAAAAAACTCTGAAAGGGAAAGTTGAATTTTATTGCTATGTCTATTTCTATAGATCCAATTATTTCCCCGTTTCTCCCCTCACAGTAAATCTGAAGGGAATGATTTGGAAACATTTCCTGGGCTAGAAAAAGCTGTTTCAAACAGGAGAGAAAATATAGCCAATAGAGTAAGCTACTGCTCTAGGCTCTTTCATTTTAGTAGCAGTCTCTTGTACTTGGGAGAGCAAAGGTGAGTCACCTGAAACTCAAGGGTGGGGGATACTGGATTTCAGTGTCACCTATATAGACCAAATTCTGTGTTCTTTTGTATGTAGGTGTGTGTTTGTGTGTGTGTGTGTGTGTGTGTGTGTGTAGGTATGTAAGTTAAAAAGTCACAACTGAGCCTTAAATGCAACTTTGTAACTTCCAGAGCTAGGAAATATAGCTTTATTTTTTTTCTATGTATAGAGGAGGAAAACTGAAAAGCTGGGAGGGAAATATATTCCAAAACCAAACTAGAGAGAAGTCATAACAGGGAGTGAGGTGTGGAGATGGGAAAGAGTAACACATGTATAAGTGAGAGTAGCAGGAAGAAAACAGTAGAAATGAGAGAAAGAGCTAGGTGAAAGATAGAGAAAGGTGAGTAGGATTCTGGGACCAAGCCACCAAGAATATGTGACAATATTTTGAAATTTTTCCTAGTTTTCAGGTTTTTTTCCTCTTGATAACAACAAGGTTTTCTCTTGGTCCAGTCTGATAGAGAGCCCTTACCAATCAGTCAAAGTTGGTAAGCTGCATTACATGGCTGCTATGTTTTGAGACTAATGTTAAGACCCTGCTGAAGTGGTACAAAAGAGAGCTTTACTCTGTGAATTTTATAGACTAGCTGGGAAGAAAAAACATAAGCACATAGACAAAAAATGCGAACATTTTAAACAGTGACATGGAAGGAGGCCACCATGTAATATAAAGAAGGGTGGTTGAGGAGAGGTTACAGAAGAAAAAGATTAAACCTGGGCCTGATTGAGTAGCTAGCTGACTCCTATCTTGCTCTTAGCTAAGGGTTCCCTGAAAATTGGCCGACCCCCATGCCATGGGCTCCTCTCAGACTGACGATTTCTGCTTCTCTAGCTAGAACACTGAGAGAGAGAGGTTCAGGTAATAGATGAACTACATATTAACTTATTTAGTCTCCTTGGTGCCTCTGGGATTCTTGTTGCAGTTTCACTGGGATGGCAGCATGTTTGAGGAGACTGGACAGGGAATATCATTAATGGCAGAGGTTTGATTTTCAGGTTTTATTCACATTAATAATGAGCTTCAATCCATTTTCATGTAGCCCAAAGTCCTAAGCAAGGCTCGGGCTGCTGTTTTGATTTTGTAATAATTGAGCACTGGTTATGATGGGCTCCGTTATGAGCTCAGGATCAACCTATGTCTGAGCAGGAGATGACAGGCTATAGGCAGTTGAGGGTTGGGTGAGTGTAGGGAAGGAGGTGGCATTAGTGTCACCCTGGAGCAGCTCTAAAGTCTTTTGTTGGTGGGACATCCATATAGGCAGTTGAAGCGAAAAAGGATCTTGGACAGGTTTGCAGCCTGCTCTTCTTTTCTAAGGTAGGCATTGAGAAGGCACTAAGATCAAAATCCCTATAATGACAAGGTTTTTCTAATTGCAGGCATATTTTATTCAACTAAAATAAAAGTTGGGTTAGCTTAGAAAAGAGAGAAGCCTCTTTTCTTTTCCACTGCCAATTTCCTCTGTATACTTTCCCCAACTCTCAATGTAGGATAAGAAAACCTTTCAGATCTCTTAAGGAATGATTATTCATTTTTTAATACTTAAGAAGATGCAGTTGGAGATAAATCCACTAGAGGGCTTGCCACCTAGGGCCCAACTAGACTAAAACAAAGCAAGAGTTGATGAATTCCGATAAATGTCTACATGAGACAGCAGCCTTACTCTCTGCAGAAGGACCTTAAAAGGAACATGAAACCATGCAGATAAAACGGTAGTTGAGGTGGAAGGTGGAGTTTTAGGGAAAAGAAGAATCCATGTCCTGATGTGGCTCACACAGGATACAGCCAGGATTTTTTTCCCCTGTGATACCAGGGATCTAATCCTGGACCTATGTGTATGCCAGGCAAGTGCTCTGCCATTGAACTACATCCCAGCCCCTAGAAGCAGGATTTTAACAATGGCTTTTCTATCCCCCAGAGTTCATTATGTGCTTCCCCTTTGATTTTAAAGCCTCTGGATTAGGAAGAAAACATAGAGTCAGAGCTCAAGACAGATCAGAACTGCATCTCTGAAGAGTAAGCAACTAGTATTTAGCTCAGTAAAGACTTTCTGCTTAGCTTATACTTGGAGGCTTGCTTCTGCGAGGGTAGCACAGGCAGCTCTGTTGTCATGACAACTTACCTAACACCTTTGCCTAGGCAACTGAGAGTAAACTGGGTCTGTTGTCATGATAATATACTTCCTCTTATATTTCCCCAGGTGGTCACTCTATTGCAGAAGAAGTGGGGTTATCCAACAAGAGTGAGGGAGAACAACAGCTTAACCAAAACAACTCTGATATTCCCAATGGAGATCAAGAAATCCAACAACCAGAAGAGGCAAGTAGAAGTCTTTTGATTCTATCTTATGGGGATCCTCTTATAATATTTCCCTAGAAAGGCACCCAAGTGTCTGATTTGAATTCTTAATCACACATTAGTGTAGGACAAATTAAGGTACCTTCCTTCTGTGTGTGGAAACACCAAAATGCAGCAATTACTACTTATTGAAGCAATGTCATATGAATGATCATGATAATGTTCTAATACTGAGTAACATATTTTCAGTGCCTACTATGTGTCATACACTGGACCTACACTCTTTACCACTCTACTACCCCACCCATAGAGGCTAATGTCCCATTGGAGAGATGAGGAAATAGAGCTAAAGAGGTTAAACTACTTAGTTAACTGTGACCAGCCTAGAACTATAATTTGAGGTTCCTTAAAGTCCTTGCACCCTTGGCTTGGGTCCTGGTTTGTGGGAGAATTAGTAGGGAATAAGTAGCCCAAAGAAAAAAGGAAGCTTCCCCACCCTGTTAGACTCACTATGCGTTGGCGCCTCTGCCTTCTTCGAAGTCGCATGAATTCCTTATGCTGACGTGAGACAAAATTGACAGCAGCATACTCCAGCAGAGCAGCGAACACGAAGAGCAGACACACAGCCATCCAGATGTCGATTGCCTTCACATAGGACACCTGCAACACCCATCAACAGTGCAGTCAGCCTTCTTGGAGTCCTTGCATGGCCAGTCGAGTGGATATCCAGCCCATGTCAATTGCCTGCTATTATTCAGTTTTATCCTGAATATTTCCTCATTTTTTTTTTTCTTTTTCCTTCTTATCGGTAGCGGGGATCGAACTCATGACTGCCTGCTTGCAAGGCAGGAACTTATGCTGCTGAGCTAAATCTCCAGCCCCTATTTCCTCATTTTTAAAGAAGCTTTCCATGATTTGTCTCATTATCTGAAAGCTAATGTCATAAAGATCTGGCTACCCATCATCCTTCAACTCTCTGCACGCTCTCCCTTCCACTTCTATCTGCCGTTCCTCCCTACAGTTCCTCTCCTTTCTTCCTTTATTCTTCTTGCATTTCTCCTTCTGCTTCTTATTCTTACTATTCTTTTTAACCTCGTCTTCTTCTGATACTTTTCTTTCAATAAATAGCAATGATCATAACGTTGCTTTGTTTGTTTTCTGTTACTCCCTCAGGTCTTCACAGTCATCGTAGCAATTAGATAGGGTTCATGGTTCCCACTGAGACACATGAAGATACTCAGGGCTCAAAGAGAAAGAATTGTATTAGATTACCACATAAGAAGGTGGCAGTAGGACTTGGAGGTTCTGAGTTCTCAGTTCAATGCCTTTGTCATTTATGTAGACTACAGCCTCACTGACAGAGTAGGAGCTCCTTCCTTTTCTTTTTCCACCTCTGTTCTTCCCTTGACCCTGTGACTTTTCTTGCTGTTCTTTGCAAGAGTACCAGTTAAGTTATAGAACTCAGCAGTAAGCTGGATATCACCTCTCCCCTCTATTCTCTAGAGGGGAGAATAGATCATAATCCTGAAGGAATACCACCTAAGAAGTATCAGGATACTCACTAGTTGCAAGGCACTCTTGACGTCCACATTATCTAGTCCGTAGTACTCTCCTCTCATTACCTGCTTTTGCAGCTATTAAGTAGTTTTTTCCCGCACTTTCCTTGTGAAAGTTGAACAGTAACCTTTCTTGGAACAGGGTTGCAGATAGATTGGTCAGGAAGATAGATTGGTCAAGAAGAAGGGACAAAGCTCAGATTTATGAGAGTCTTTCCTTCCTTATTGACTCCCTGCATAACTTTGAGCTTACTATATAAGGTTCCCTAGCAGGAGTAGGATGCATACATGAAGCATGACTTTTTTTCGTAGCTTCGGCTATGCTGGGCAGGGTTGGAGGTGGTGTTGCTGATCCTAGGTAAGGAGAAAGTTTCACTGGATAAATATTCTTAGTCTTTTTTTTTTCTTGGTACTGTAATACCAACCTAGGGCCTCACATATGCTTGGTAAGCAGTATACTACTGAGCTATACCACCCCCCACCTTAGTGGTTCATAACAAGGAAAAACTTTGTCCTACTCCATTTGGCAATATTTTGAGACATTTTTGACCATACAATTTTGGGGTAGTCGAATCTACTGGCATTTAATACATACATATAAAACAGGGATGCTGCTAAACGTCCTACGGTGCATAACCCCTCCCTCCAACACAGACAGAGACACACACACACACACATATGCATGCACATGCACAGATTATCCACATAATTTGTGATACATAGAGTGCCAAGACTGAGAAATCTTACTCTACTCCTTTTCGAGCAATTCCATTAAAAGCATAATAGTGGGTTGGTTGGGAGCTTTGATTAGACATTCCCTGGTGTCTCTACTTTGCCACCTGCTAAGACAGCATCCTATTTTATGCTCAATTTCCCAGTCCCACTGTGCCCCCAAGGATGTCAAACAATGCAGTGAAGATCAATGAGTTAATGACAAGAGAATCGTAATGGGCTTTGGACCATCAATGGAAAGGATACCTTAAATACCAGGAAGAAAGCCTTGTTAATAATTAATATGTCAGTAATACATTAAAAATATCTCCAGAATCCATCTACTCACTATCCTACTTCATTTAAAGGACTGCAACAGTTTTTTTAAATGGTTTCCCAGCATCTATTCTTGCTAACCCTAATCTGTTCTCCAAAGAGCAGCCAGAGTTTTGTTTTCAAAATGAAAGTCTGAACATATTAATTCCCTGCTTACAACCCTTCAGTTTTTCTCCATTATCCTTATTATTTAATCGATGTTCCACTTACTGTGACATCTAGCCTTGGCCTACTTCTTGCCTCATCATGCCCCTTACAATCTATGGCCCTGTTGATGATGAGCTACTTCAGCAGTTTCCCAGGAAGCCCATCTCCCTTCCCCTTTTCATCCTTTCCTTGGGTAGTTTTTACTTATCTATCAGCTTTTTCTTTAGATGCCACATTTTCTGGAAAGCCTTCGTTTCTCTGATCATCCCAGTCTGTACTGGTTGTCCTGCTATATGTATACAGGCTACCTATACCTTCCTAGTATCTACCACCTACCTGACTTTCCCTCCACTAGCCTATGAGCTCTTCCATGACAGGGACTCTATATTGCTCATTGTTCTATTGTCAATACTAAGCTAAGTGCCTGACACATAGTAAATATTCTTTGAATGAGTGAAAAGGTGCATGGTTTAGTAATTTGTTTGTCAGTACTGGATTCTACCTCTCTCTACCCTTTTTATCACTACCTATCTCAAGAATTTATAGCATCTGGAGAGAATTAGGTCTTTCCTCCATGCTGAAACTTTAGGTCTAATTCAATAGTTTCAGGTAGAAATTTCCATTTGGCCCTTACATTTTGCTTACAGTTGTGGAGATCATGGGCCTGCAAAGAGAGGGTGATCAATGCCTTTGGAGTCCCTTATAAGAGCAAAGAAGAGTGGTTTCTTGGGAACATGTGGAATGACCACCCCATTTGAGTTCTCTTATAAAGCAGGTCCTGGCACTCTCATCCTGGACAATAAAGTATTAGGAATGGAACTGATGTAACTTTCAAAATACCCTGGCTTCTTCCTGTGTCTTTCCTTGAGGTTCCTACCAAACCTGATATTGTACAAATTTGAGTGAGCAGAATCTCCTTGGCTTACTGAATCTGTGTGGAGGTGGCTAATAAGGACATTTAGTTTGGGGTACATGCCTGGGTATTTTGCTTACTGGCCAATAAGCCCACAAAAATGTCATTAAAAATCTGATGAGGAGATGTCAGTGTTACAAACAACTATCCAGCAAAGTCCATTTTTCCCAAATGAGGGAAGTAGGTGATTCCTAGAGGCACATAGATTGTGCTAACTCACAGGAGGAGAATAGAAAAGGAAGATAAATTGTTCATTATATGTCCTTGAGTTACAGAAGACTCTCCTCACATTGCAGTGGCAATAAACTGGGACAGGGTTCTTAGTGCAAAATTAGTTTTCTACCTCTAGTCTCCATTCAAGGCTGTTATCAAAACAGAGATATCACATCTCTGTCTGACCCTGCCTAAATCAGTCTTGCCTCATCAGAGCCTTGTCAATTCACCTATAAACCATATTTGCAGAAAGTGATGTGTAACTCCTTGGACACTTGATCCTCATCTGAGCTTTGTCACTGTTTTACCCTAAAGGAATTTGAAATACCCCAAATCAAAAATAACTGGGAACAATACCAGTTGCTTTAATCCCAGATGCATTACTCATGATTTTCACCTCTGATGCCTGATCATTAAAATGATATTTATTGGGGGCTGGGGATTTAGCTCAGCGGCATAAGTGCCTGCCTTGCAAGCAGGCAGTCGTGAGTTCGATCCTTGGTACCGGTAAAAAGGAAAAAGACAAAAAAAAAAAAAATGATATTTATTGAGTGGTTATTATGTACCGAATATTGTCCTGTGCATTTTATATTGTATATTTTTCATTATTACCCTATGATTGAGGGAGCATTCTTATTCCCACGCTATAGGCAAGGAAATTGAGATGTTAAGGAATTTACTTAGGGTCACAATATGAGGCCAGCATTTAAACCCAAATATGTCTGACTTATTTTTCTACATTTAACCACTGCTTCCCTCATATAGAAAATTCATAAATTCATCATGGATATTGCAGACTACCTCTTGCTTAAGTTCCTAGTAAGAAGTCTTATTTAGGGACAAGAAACAAAAGATGGAGACCTGGTTCCAAACAAATCAGAGCAAGAGAAAACATGTCCACTGTGAGATTCACAAGAAACTAATTGCTTTGCTTCTCATTATTCCTCTATAAATAAGTACAGTATCTGGTACATAGTACATACTCAATAAATATTTGTTGAATGAAATTATTAGTCTCACTCCCTGATTTCCTCCAATCCTTGCTGACTCTAAGGACTTTGAAGTAACCTCCAAATTCCCCACATGACCTGAGGCTGGGAGAACTGTTACTAGTCTCATCAGCACAAATCTTTCTGCATAATCAAAACATTGCAGTGTCCAGATGATCAGAGTCTACTTTCTTTAATTGCTATTTGCTACCTCAAAATTTTTGCATCCCCAAAGAATAGATACTATATCTAGAGTGCTTTGCAATAGTATCTTATTTCTGACATAGCAAGAGGACAGAAGTTGGCTCAAAATCCTGACATTTCTTTGGTTATTTCTGGTGGAACATGGCTTTGAGAAGGTCATTTTACCTCTCTGGACTGTATTCTAAACTGTGCATGAGGGAATATGACTTTCTACTTGATAAGGGCCTTTTCATTTTGGAGATGCTAGCATTTCCTACAGACTGTCAAGTAAGTAAGGCATGGCCTCTACTTATTCCCTAGCCAGATAGCATCCCTAACCTTCGCTTCCACATTGTTGGCAATGTTCTTAGCAGTACGTTGTTGGAGAAGAGGAAATGTCACACACCTGCTCTTGCTCAGTGTCTCTTCTCAACTGTAAATCTAAATCAAATGGTGAGCAAGAAGGAGCATGGGATGAGAGGGAAATTGGGAGCTCAGTGGCAAACAGGTTCCCTTGTATGTCTCTTCACCTTTGGTAAAGAGGCCCGGGAGCCAGAGCTCTGGGTTGTCATGGTGAGCACGGTGGTGATGCCAAGGCCTACACGGGCAGGGGCAGCATCCATGTTGATCCAGAAGGAGACCCAGGACAGGATAACGATGAGTAGGCTAGGGATGTACATCTGAATCAGATAGTAGCCCATCTGCCGTTCCAGATGAAACTTTACCTCGATGCATGTGAATTTCCCTGCAAAGAAAGAGGTGAAGTATGAGGCCTCAGGCCCTCACTTGGCAGCTGAACCTAAGGGGAAGGAGCAGAGCAGCTCTATCTCTGTTGGATGACCTTTGGGCACTTCATTGAGGCTAATAAAAATGTCTTTCAAAATGACCCCAAGTAGTGGAATGTATGTAGTAAGAAAGCTCTCAGGGAAGCCTTAAAGGACTTTCTCTTTTCTTCTGGCAGTTTAGCTTTCAGTAGAAGGTCTATAAGTGATAGCACAGCAAAAAGATAAAGAGCAAGAGGTCTCCAGAGTAAGACTGTCTGAATCTGAATCCTAGCCTTTCATTTATTAGCTGTGTGACACTGAGCAAAACACCCAAGCCTTTTGAATTTCAGTTTCCTTGCCTGTAAAACAGTAATAGCAATATCAACTCCATCACCCAGATCTTGAAAAAATTGAAGGAGACAATAAATTTGAGGTATTGAATACATAGGTAGCTGTTAATATTTTATATTGTTATTAGTGGTAAAATCAGACTCCACTCAGATTTTAGCAGCCTTGCTTGCTCTTACTAGTACCCCAGAAGTTCTCTAACAACAGCGTTGTGGTAAACATTGCTGTGTCTTAAACAAGTGAGCAGAGTCACATAGAAAACCTCTGCAAACAACACTCAACAGAGATCAGCTCTGGACCGTGAGCAGTGGGTTCCTATAGAGCATTAGGAAGCAGCATTCTAATCCATCAATAAAAAGTGCATGGGGCCATGCATGAATGCCCTGCCTCCTCTGCCAGCAGTCTTCACTTTTCTATGCTTCCCATGGCTCTAAGCCTAAGAAAACAGTAGTGCACAGCTCCCCTCAGAAGCAGAGGCATAATAAAAGAGAGAATATATGTAGTCATCTCTTAGTATCTGTGAGGGGTTTGTTGCAGGACCTTTCTGCAAATACCAAAATCTGGATGGTCAAGTCTCTTAAAATGGGGATAGTATTTGCATATAACTTATGTACATCCTCTTGTATACTTTAAATACTCTCTATGTTATAATACCTAACAAAAATATTAATGCTGTGTGTAAATACTTGTTATAGTATATTGTTGATGGAATAATTGCAGCCGGGTGGTGTGGCACATGCCTATAATGCCAGCACATGGGAGGCTGAAGCAGGGAGGCTGAGGCAGCTGTAAATGATAGTGAGACCCCCTGTCCCAAACAAACAAACAAACAATAAACAAAAAATAATTACAAGAGGAAAAGTCTGCTTATATTCAGCACAGGTACAATTATTTTCATGAATAGATTTGTTCTATAGTTAATTAATTCTTTGGATGCAGAACTTGTGGACATTGAGAGTTGACTGTGTGTTGTTATTTTTATTTTTGTCTCGGTTTACCCTTATTAGGGCTACCAAATTCCTCAAGGCCAGTGATTTTATCAATACCTGATTAAGGTTCTGACATGCTATATGACACTATTACCTTCTAGTGTTCCAAGTATACCCCACCTCATACCACCACACGCTTCTCACTATGGCCTGCTTTTACTAAGTATGCATATTATCTTTTTCCTCCTTCTTTTCTTCTCTTCCTTTCTTTCTTCCTTCCTCCCTCCCTCCATGCCTTCGTCCCTTTTTTTGAAGCTTTAGTTTTAGTTACAAAATTAACCCTTGCATAGTATAGAAAAAAACGAAATAAGGAATAATATCATAAACTTACATTTATCAAATCTCTATTAAGTGCCCTGACCTTATATACTTTATCTCATTTAATCCTATAGCAACTCTTTGGGCAGATAATGTCATGATCTCCTATTTCAAAGATAAGAGTATTAAAGCATGAAGAGATTAAGGATTAAGCTATGTTTCTCAAGGGCCCACAACTAGTAAACAGTGCAGCCAGAATCCAAACGAGTTTATTTGACTCCAAAGTTCTTGCTCTTATCCCTTGTATCACATAACTTTAGAAATATTTAGTGATAGTATTTCCCTTCCAGGATTTTTTTAAGCAGTGACAAAGTTTATTTGAAAAAGTGGAAACGAAGAATGAGGGAGAAACTAGCTCTGTAGAATATGCTTGTGTCTAGTAAATGAGGATAAATCAGGTAAAGTACGCCCCCAAGGATTTTTAAATGCACATTTATTTGGTTTATTCTTCCATCATAATATAATCATTCTGTGTTACAACTTTGAACCTTACCTTTTTTCATTCGTTTTTACCCATGTGGATCTGTGTGCCTTCCTAGCATCCTTTTTTAAAATCTGCACACTATTACACCAAGGAAGAATACTATCTAATTTACTTAACCTCCACCCTACTGGTAGATGTTTGAAATAATTTTAAGTTTGGTAATGTAAATAGTGACCCAGCAGCCCTCGAGGTCTAAAGTCAATGTGATAGTTTGGAATATTTAATGTACTTATTATACATTCTGAGGAGCTGGTAGATACGAGAAAATAGAAGGGTAAATGAAGCTTTTAGACTAAAGTCTCTTCCAGAACTATGTCTCCTAGACCACCTACATCAGAACTATCAGGATGTCTGTTAACATCCAAATTTATGGGCATTACTCCTGGCATGTGTACTTGTACTTTCTGAGAGGTAGAATTGACAGTTTTAACAGACTCGCTAGGGGGATATATTGCATACCAAAGTTTGAAAACCACTGACTGACCTATATCCAAATTGTCAATTTTATTTCCGTAAGGCTATTCCAATTTCTATCCCCAGCTGCATTTTCTAAATGCAACAAACTGTCCTTCTGCCCCACTCCCCGTACCCCTTACACCCCCACATGCACATGTGCATAAGAAGAACCCAAAGTATATCAGCACCCCATAGGAGAGACTCAGGCTCTCTCTCTCTTTAGGCTGTGTCTGTCTTAGGCTCCCACCTCCTCACATTCAAATTGTTTGGGGTAACAACTCTTAGGGAAGCTGCAGAGGGCAGGTGCTCATGGTAAAAAAGCAGCCTTGCTCAACTTGCTAGCCAAGTTTCAGGTTGGGAAAACAAGCAGTTTAGGAGAGTTGGACATTGGTAGCAGTGCAAGGTAAGCTGGCTATTGCCTTCAGGCCTGCTCCTTCCCAGTTCAGCACAGCCATTTACTACTCTTAGAAGTGAATTTCTCATCTCACAAACAAATTTGGCCCTAGGAAGTGTAGAACTTCTGCCACTCATTGTGCAGGACTATTTTCTCTGCAGAATGTGAAAGGGACAAAACCATAGGCTGTGGAGTTGGATCTACAATTAAATTCCAAATTTGCCAGATATTAGCTATATGACTTGGACAACTGACTTAACCTCTTGGAATCTCGATCCTGTCTTTCTAAAAAGTGGTGGTGATGATCACTATTGCCATAAGTTATGAGATAAAGTGTACGAAGTATGTAGCATCATATCCTGCCTAGGTTAGGACTAATAGAGAATAGCTGCCTTGTTTCTTTGCCTCTTATCTGGAGGCCCTTCCGTGCCTCAAAGCCAGTAAAGAGCTTGGTTCTTACCTGTGTTGTAGTTCTTGGTACAATAGCCTAGATCCTTTTCATCCCGCAAAATAAACTGGGGCAGAGTCAGCCCCTCAGCTACTTGGACAGCTGGAGCATCTTCCAGCCACTCAAAGACGAGGTCATTCATGGTATAGCCAACTGCAAATGACAGAGATTGCAGAGAACTGCAGAGTGTGGATGTTGGGTGGCGGTAAAGGTAGAGTTAGAACTGGCAGAAGAAGACTTGATAAGGAGTAAGGCCTGGGGCTTAGGGACTGCATTCTCATCCTGAAAAGGGAAACTTCTGACGAGGGTGCTTGGTCAATTGTCTAATGAGCCTATCCTAAGAGGGATGACTCCAGACTCATTTTCTATCCAGTTTTCAGGCTTAAGACAGGTTTTAAAAAGAAATTATTCTGACAGACCTAGAAGATAGGCCAAGAGAGTTGGAAAGATGTCAAGGACCCCAGCAGGAAACATAGCTAAACCCCAATGGAGTAAGCATGTGTACTGACCACATATCTAGAGCTGAATCAGCCTCAGAGCCAGGGATTCTGTCTCTTTACCTCAGGGAAGAGAGAGCTATTTATATCCTGGCAGTCATGCATGGGACAATGCAAATACCACAGACTCCTAGCCAGTACCTTAATTTGGGATAATCCAATAGTTATTATATGAACATGTCAAGTGGCTCCAAGTTAGCTAGAAGTTTATGAAGACTCATGCTGAATGTGGAAACATTCACAGGAGAGATAGGAGCAGAATCACCATGGTTGAAGAATGCACTTTAGGGCCTTGACTCAAAGGAGCTGTATAACTATGGGTAAGTCACAGTCCCTTCTGTAAAATAATAGTAGTTCCTCTACCATTATCTCAAAGCGGTTTTGAAGGGTTATAAAGGATAGATAATGGGAACCTGAATGTGAAAGTGGTTTATGAACTTTAAGAAGATGACCACAGGACATGTTCTGTGTATCACTGTTAATATATACTAGAGCAGTCTTAAAAGCATTCTTTTATGAAGACCTTATGAATGTCTCCTGATCTTGAAGTCTCACCACATCCAGGGGATGGAGAAGGAACAAAAATAGATGATAGCCCAAGCTTGCCATCCTTTGGCTATTGTGCAATTTGGACTGTCCATATAGGTTGACCCTCTGTCACAGAGGATCCCTTGGCTGACTTCTCTCTAGGCACAGTCCTCTCCTTGGAATTGTTATTTCTTACTTCCGTATAATGTTTATCTGTGTTTGTTGGAAATTAGTGTTCAATCTTCCTGCCCTATACAACACTGTCATTTTATGGATATATTTAATGTCCTAACTCAGGGGAAGAAAGGCAAAACTACTTCAGGCACTATAAGAGAGAAAATAAACTTTGAGAAAGGAGTTCTTCAAACTATCCCTCACAGACAGCACAAGCATATTTAGTACTTCCCATGCCTCAGCCTTGTGAAACAGCCAGACTAGCAAACAGTATGGGAATAAAAGGACATACTAGGTTGTGTGTCGGGAAACCTTGGCTTTTACTCTCATCTCTGCCAATAATTGAGTGTGTGTGCTTGGATAAATCCTTCCCACTCTCAGTGACCCTTCTCCTGTCTAGAGTATCAAGGGATAGGACTAACTAGCTGTTTTTCTAGGACTTGTTCTGTGAATCTACAGACACTTACAGCTTTCCAGTTGCATTGTGCAGGTCTGGATGTCCATGGGGAAGTTCTTGAGGTCCATCGGGCAGGACAAAATAAGAGTCAATCTGGTAAGAACAGTAAGAAAAAATGACATCAGCTTACTGCACTCGGGACTTCCCACCCTTCGGCCTCCATCTGGCTTCTTCCTTTTGATAGAAACTCTGATCATCCACCAGGTGTACCTGATGCTGTAGAGCACATTGCCATTCTTGAAGATGCGCAGCAACTTGTTGTCTGTGGTCACCTCATGGAAATTGGCCCCTTTCTCATTAGCAAAGAACAGGTCTGGCTTCCAGATAGAGTCCAGCATGGAGGGATCAAGGTCTAGTGAGTCATCAGGATATTCTTGGTAGGCCAGGCGTGGGTCGTTCCACTGCTGCCTCAAGAAGACATTTACTCGGTAGTCCTGGGAAGGTGCAGAGATGGGCTCTGTCACAGAGAACGCTATTACAACTCTACATGGGTAACAGAGCAGTGAGGAGGACATACTAGAAGCCACATGTTGGAAGTAGTAATTTTCTTCTGAAAAAGGAGCCTACCATGGGCTGATATAGCAAAGATGGGAAAGGAAAAGGCATCTATTTAAGCACCAAATGTGTGACAGCTCTGATAAGTGCTTTATTGTATCTCATTTAAATCTCACATCAATATTGTGAGAATGCAGCTATCATGAATGAGTAACTGAGACTCAAATAAATCTGCATAATACAACTATTAGATGGCAGAGTCAGAATTTGACCCCAGGTTTTGCTGATTCCAAAGTCTATTCTCTGCATCAAGCTACTACACATTTGATCTCTGGTACTAAAACTAGTCTGTCTTGAGCCATGGAAGTCTGGAACTGGGGAAAAATGGTCTCTCATTCCTAACTTCAGATATCCTATGACTTTAGCTGAGACCTTGAGAGAAGAAGAGACTAGCTGGGGAGGAAATGCTTACTGTCTTATGAGCTTACCCCATTCACACTGGAGTATTAGTGGGGAAATAGAAGACCCCTTACCATGGTAGTCTCAGTGACGGAGCCAAAACTGTTGATGAAGATGTTGCAGGTCACATTCACTGGTGGGCCTATGGTAGCAAAGCACAACTCATTGGCAGGGCATTCCAGGAAGCTGGGATCCCTGAGTTTTATATGAGGGCACTGGTGGGAGAAGACAGTGCCAGCTACACAGACTCATGGGCAACAAAGAGATGTAAGAACTAGCCCTGAACCTCCAGCCTCCTTCATCAGGGCAAACTATGGGAGCAGGACTGCATAGTATGCTGCCAAAGTGTCAAGGTGTATGTGGGATGAATGTGTCTTACCTTTAAAATTGGGCCGAATCCTGGCATCATATCCAGATGTTCGCCCCATAAGCTTGTCTAGGAAATCAGAGGGTGACATGGGCTGCGAATCCTTGGTCCCAGATCTGACATCCTCCTTTGCCAAAGCCACCCTGGACAGGAGAGACAAAGAGATCTGACACCAGTTATATTTTGAATTTATCACAGACTTTCTCCTCCCCATCCACCTCTGGCTGGTCTCTGCATCAGGTAGCAGGATAAGAAAGAATGACCCTCTGGGTGCTGATGTGCAAAATGAGAACAAACAAAAGCACCATAGCTAACATGATAACTCACCAATTATCCTAGGAAAAGACTTTCACATACATTAGATCTTTTTATCACAATTTTCAGTAAAATGGAAGTGTAGACTGTTATTTCCATTTTACAGATGAAAAACTGAGATTTAAAAATGAGTGATTTGTACAAAATGTCGGAGCTAGTGAGTGACAGTGTTAGGATTTAAAGTATTGGGCCAAAGTTTCATCTAGTGTTCTCTTCCTGAAGGTGCTTTAGAAGCACCCAACAAAACAGCACTTTAAAAGTGACATTTCACTGTAGTGGTTTGTTCATGTGTCCTACACTCCTTGCCAAGGATGGAAAGGGATCAGGGACAACTTGCATCTCTGAGATTTGGTGTTAATTGGCTTCATGTGAGACTCCTTAGAATCTAGAATCCAGCTTCTGAAAAGAGAGAGGCTTGGCTCTTGGCATTTGTAGCAGAAAACTATCTGTTGAGATATGATTTAATTCTGGGCTGTGGCCACTGCAGACAGGTGAACTCAACTATATAAGGAAGCAGGTCTCTGTGGACATGCAAGAGTCTCTCAGTAGGCACATAATACTGAGAATATTAACTCCCACCTTTTCCCTGCTAACAGTTTGATTTTGAGGCAGGTGCCAGTATGATTTGGCCTGATCTGTAAGCCAGATAGATGCCTTCTTTCCTGATGAGTTTTCCTCTAAGAGTGGGAAAGCTCCTTCCATATGTCTGCTTACTAGCTTACCAGCTAACAGATAGACCAGGGACCAGGAGCTAAACAAAGCTTTGGGAGCAAGAACAGAGCTCAGGACCAAGCCCGGGCTGGACTCCTGGACTTCTTCATTCTCTTCTATCCTGCTGTTCTAACTGAGTCAAGCATGATGGCCAGCTCTGTTATTGCACTGTAGGGCTGGATAGCACAGTAACTGCTATTTTTGTGGGTCCTGGTTTCCTTTGAGTTAGTGGCTCTTTGTTTCCTAGAAAGTCTGTGGATTAAGCAGTAACTAATGGAATAATGAAAAACATCATACTAAACATTTCACATAGCTTATCTTATTTAGTTCTCACCAAGGTCCTGATTATCCCTATTATAGTTGTCCCAGTAAGATTGATTCCAGGACTCCCATATGTATACCAAAATTCATGGCTGCTCAAGTATCTTATATAAAATAGATAGTATTTGCAAATAACCTACATATATCCTCCCATGTACTGAAATCATCTCTGGATTACTTGAAACATATGCAATGTAAATGTTATACAGATACTTGTTATAGTGTATCATTTAGGGAATAATGGCAAGAAAAGTATGTAGATATTTATCATTTGTGCAATTTTGTTTTATGGTGTTGGAGACTGAATTCAGGATTTTGCACATGCTAGGTAAGTGCTCTGTCACTGAACTACACTTCCAGTCCTTTGAAAATTTTATTTTGAGACAAGATCTCACTGAGTTCCCTAGGTTGGCCTCAAACTTGCAGTCATCCTGCCTGTCTTCCAAGTAACTGGGTTATAGGCATGCATGACTGTGTTCAGTTTAGCAATGATTTTTTTTTAAAAAATGTATATTCTTGATCTGTAATTGGTTGAATCCAAAGATGTAGAATCCATAGATATGGAAAAATTGACGTATGTAGTTGAGGATCAGTGAGGTAAAATGACTTCATGATACTATAGCCAGTAAGTGGTAAAGCAAAACTTCAAACTTAGAGTTATTTACTTCAAGACTGAATCTATGTACCACAGTACATGATGCAAGCAGCCTAGGGTGACCATTCAAAGAACCAGAGTAGAGGAAGACCAATGGCAGCCTCATTCTGACCTCTTTGAGTCCTGCCTCCTTGAATTTCCTAAGCAAGAAGAAGCCCTACACTAGGCACAGAGGCCACCCCAGATCTCAGCAAGTGATGAGAGCAGGTGGCCTAAACCATCTGTGAAAATCTCAGGAAGTTGGACCAAGCAGAAGTTTGCAGTTTCAACAGAGGACGTCTATGCTAGCCAGGTGCTGCTGCTGCTGTTGGCCACCAGCCACCTGCCTGATTGGAGGTCACATGGCCTTGTGCATGGAGAAACCAGACCTCTCCACTGTCTTTAGCCTCACTCTCAGGTTACTTCTCCCACCTCTCCTAGGACTCTGAGTTAGACTGTAGGTTCAGCTGTCTTCAGCTTCTTATTGTGGCCCCCTCTTCCAGGGTACCTTGTCTGAGCACCTGTCACTGGAATCACTATGTACAGTCATTTCTTCCTCTTTCATTTCTGGAAAGTTCCAAACACTGGCAGAACATAGGAGGATCCACAGTGGATGTTATTTTTTTTATGCAAAGCCCTGGGGTTGGGTGAGGGGAAAACCCTGATTCAGTTAGGTACCTGAGCAACCTTGGACAGGTCACTTCCCCTTTTTAGTTTCCATATATACATTAAACAAGTTGGAATCAACATTCTTTAAGGACCCATCTTCCTCTAACTGCCTCCAGTCCCTAAGTCTAAGTGGAAATGGTAGCATTGGAGCTTGGACCTTGGCTCAGTATCCCCTCCAGGAGAGCCATCAAGACCTAGCTGGGTTCTCTCTTTGGTGTCTGATTTCCTGTCATACAGGAGCTGTCATTCCACTTTAAACTTCTTTTTACTGTCCTGCCTTGTATCTTTAGCTGACAGTCAGCCAGTGAACTCACAAGCAGTGCGACAGGAAGCTCCTCAGAGGCAAAAGCTCTGGGGTTCTCCTTGGATTAAGAAGAGGAGAAGGATACTGTGGTGACACTCACTTGTTTTGCCTTAAAACTTGCTCATCTGATGGCCAGCTCAGCCCAAGCTATAGTCATCTTTCTTTATCTGCTCAACCTGTCAGCCTATACTGACTCCTTCTCTAATAAGAAAAAAACAATTGGAGGACATTTATAATGAGCCCAAATCATTCCTTTACAGAAAGCCCAGGATTTTATTGCCATGTACTGCCCCTTGGGGGACAGTGAGCAACCATGTGTTCACAAGCAGAGTGATTTCAAAAGTCTAAGGCTTGGGTGACCCAGCTGCATCCTGATGTGATCTTGGGGAAAACCCATGCTATCTGACTGACAAGATGTTGTTCTCATTTTGGGGGATCTGAGCAGTATGTGGCCCAACTGGTAGGGAGGGAGAGTTGGGTCACAGGACAGATGGCCTGCATTTTCGGGCTCAGCTACCCAGCCCCTTCCCAAGGCACCCATCCCTACCCCTACACAAGCCCAGAAAACTCTCACCCACACATAAGCCTTCCCACCAGCACTGGGTCCCTGACATCTCCAGTGGAAAACTCCTGGGTCCTGATTGTAGGATAGTGTGTCCTTCCCTGCAGCCCTCCAAACTGAGTTCTTTCTGCAAACTTAGAGGAAACTGTGCCAGCTCTCCTGCCAGTCCCCTACCCCCACCAGTGTTTGCATGCACCTCCTTCTCACCCCTGCTCAGCTCACCTGAGGAGGATCTGCCCTGGCAGAGTCCAGAGGAGAAAGAAGGAGAGGGTTGCAGGAACAAGAGTTGTCATTCCACGGGGACCTTGGAGCCCTTTCTCAGTCTGACTGCCAAGGTGAGAGGGGGGATCCCTGCGGGAACGCCAAAAGTACAGTGCCTTCCTCCAACACGGGCTGCTCACAGTGAGCAAAGGGGCTGAAGTTGTGCCCTCTCTCTTCTGTCTCTTCTCCTCTGCCCTGTCTTTACCAGTCAGGGGCCAGAACTATTCCCCTGGAAATGATCCTGACACAGATAACCCTAGCGGCTCCAGCTCAGGCTCGCCTTGGGCTACAAAAGGCCTGTCGCCAGGGAGCTAGAAAAGATTCTCTTTGGGCAGCAATCACTCTCCAAACCCTGGAGAGTCTTGGAGGGAGGGAGGAGGGAGGCCAGTAATAAGATGTTTCCTTCCCTCCCACCTCCCCCTAGATGCGCCCTCCAAAAGCAGCAATTTAAAGGCACAGTCGCCAGCGGCTAGAGTGTGGTTCAGAGCCTGTCTGTGTGCCACGTGCCAGGGAGGAGCTTGGGCTGCCGCTGCTGCTTGGGGAGAGCCTGCCTGAGGTGTTCTGTCCAGCCTCCAACTCTCCAGCTGGAGGAGAGCACGTAGGCAGTCCTGCTGTCCCCCAACTAACAGCTTTCCTACTAGCCTAGAGCCAAGCTGGGGCCCAGTAGTAAAGTCCTAATGATTTTTATAAGGAAGGAAAAAGACCTCACAGGTTTGGCAGAGCCACTAGTTTTTCCTAAGCTTACAGCTTCAGGTTTAAGAGGGAAAGTAGGCAGAAGGCTGAGAGCAGACGCAGCTTTTCACTACCCTCTGGATGGAGGTACAGACATAGATGATGTAGAAGAACTTTGAATCCCTTCTCCTATGTGGTCAGCCTGCCTGTCAGTCTATCTACTTGCCTCCAAGCGCCTTCATCCTCCTAGTTGTGTATTCTTATTCCTAAATGCTTCCCTCCCTCAGTTCATCTCTGGGAAAATTGGGGCCCTTTGTAGTTCTCAAAATCCTTTTTCCTCCAAACCCTTCCCCAGTCCTGCTCCTGAGAAGAGACTGCTATCCTGAGCAGAGGGAGAACAGAGCAAGGTTGGATACAATAGTTTTTGCTGGCTTCAGAGGAATTGTGGGGTAAAAGCAACAAGGACCTAGGTGCTGCAGGCATAAATGGAGGAGAGAGGAAGCTGATGGCATCCTCCTTTGTCTTCTGCACATTTCCTTACGGCATCAAGGGGCTTTGTCAGCTCTATTTATTTTTATGTCTGACTCTTCCTCAAAGTTTCCTGTGCATCATCTAAACAGCTCTGGGACTGAGTGACTTTTCTGCCCTCTTTGTTTCTCCTCTCCTTCTCTGTGACTGCCTCTCCCATTGAAGTTTTCCTTCATTTGTCCTCAGTCTCTGTTTCTTTTCTGTGCCTCACCCTCTGAGTCTGTTTCTCTCTCTTGTCTCCATCACTTTATCTCTCTCTTTCTCTCTATCTCATTGTCTCTCTGTCTCTGTCTGTCTGTCTCTCTCTGTTTTTTTTTTCTGAGATAGCATCTCATGCTTTGTAGTCCAGGCTGTCCTTGAACTTATTAAGTAGCCCAGGCTGGCCTCAAACTCGAGGCAATCCTCCTGCCTGTCTCTGAAGTGCTGAGATTATAGGTGTGCATCATGCCTGGCTGTTTTCTCTTTAGCTCGTCTATATCTACTGTGTGTCCCACTGTCTTCTAAATTATGGCAGTGAGAAGCCAAATGGTTTTCAGTTCTTCAGTGTCATTCTCCCACAAGCTGTCCTGAATTTGAGTGTATACTGGGGAACAGGGGAGAGGTGAGTGCCACTTTTCATGAATTAGTCCTAAGGTGACTGGGACGTCCCCAACCTTGCAAGAGGGGTTTGTGAGGATTGAAAGCTCTTATCTGGAAGCCCACTCACTATATAGAAAGATTAGTAAGGAGGTATCAACATGTGAAATTTGTGCAGCATGTCCTTTTTGGCTGAGTTATCAAGGAAGAGGAATTTTCAAATCATAGTGAAAAAGAAAGAAGAGAATTTTCATCGATACTTACTGAAGTATTCTTTTTTTTTCTTTCATCTGGTACTGGGGATTGAACTCACAGTCTCATGCCCGCCAGGTAGGCATTGTGCTGCTGAGCTGTATCCCTAGTCCTTTCTTGCTGAAGTATTGATGAGTGAGCTGAGCTTTTGGATTTGGGGCTAAGAGTATTACAAGCCTTAATTAATGCCTATATGATGCATGGAAGCAAAATACTAAGTATCCAAGAGACATCTTTGGCTGCACCTTTACCTCCTTACCTTTTCTCCTTGTTTCCTCTAAGTATCACAGTCCTTACCTACTCTTTGGGAAGGAACCAAGCCTTACAGGACTTCTCAGGGCAAAGCTCAGGCCCAGATTCCAAGAGCTACACTGTCTCCTCTGTGTAACATCTCTCCGACAACCTTGATCATGTCACTTTCCCTGCCTCAGTAGTTCCCCACTGCTCTCAGGCTGTGATTCAAGATCTTGAATAACTTGCTCACTCTGCCCATTCCACTGACTTATCTAAAATTGACTATTCTGTTTTTCTAGTCCTGGGTATTTTGCCAAGGAAGACTTTGAACTCCCCTCACTACCTTCAGGGTAGAGTTAAAAGACCTCCTGTTCCATTTTCCCAGGACACTTTCCATCTCACTTCCTTAGCATAGTCACACTCTACCAGTTACAGTTGCCAGCTTACATGTTTCTCTCCTCTACTATATCAAGAGCTCCCTGAGAGCCAAGACACATGTCCACAAAATCCCCATATACTATAAGCAGTTAAGTAACATTTGTTAATAGATGCATCCTAACACCCATTAACACTTCCCTAAGCTCACTGCTTCTGCATCCCATTGTGAAACAAGAATAGTAAGTTTGAAGACCAGCCTGAGGTATCAGTAATAAAGAGAAATAAGGAAGTAGTTTTTATTTCATTGCCCCTTGGTTTGTGGCTAACAGTCATCTGGAATTCTTGGGTGATGGAAAGGATTGGTCTTGGCGACTAGTCTGTTATCTCAGATCTCACCTCCTTTGTGCTCTGTGGAATCCTTGAGTGCTGAGAGCATGGCAGAGTCAGCATTCTGGGTAGACAGATCCCTTCTTGTGAGAGGCTATAGAAATAAGCAAATATTTGGCTGGTATGATGAATGAATACAGTTTTCCTAGGGTACTACTAAGAGTAGACTGTTTAGGTGAAGAAGAGAGGAAAGGGGACAAAGAACTAGGTAAGCTGCTGCTAGGAACTGCCATACCTCAAAGAGTTTCCTATGTTAACAGGAAGACCCTTCTGCTAGAGAAGGGTGTAATGCTATGTACAACTTTGTCATATAACCTTTTTTCCTTCTCTATAAAAGTATGGTGTATATGAATCTCCATATACCAAAATCTATTATAGTGTTTCCTATTTGGAATTGGCTGCCTCACTGGTCTGAAAACTGATTTCATGGCAGTACTGAGGTGGTATAGAAGCAACACTAGGCAGCATATTTTTTTCAGGATGAAATATGTTATTTTGTCATGAAAAACTACTGAACTCTAAAAGTGGATTAAACACATTTTCATAAATATTTTCTAGGAACGCATCCATCATATTTCAGCCCTATGCAGGGAAAATTGCAACTGTCCCTGCTAGTAAGCAGACCTTCTAAACACTATCTGAATAACAGCATGCCTGGGTTGAAATGGACATTATTTGTAAGTCCAGTAACTTCTAGGGTTGAATTATTTTTGTTGTTGTTTTTTTTAATATTGAGGACTGAACCCAGGACTTTGTATATGCTGCACAAATGCTGTATCACTGAATATATCCACATCCCTTTTATTTTTTAATTTCGAAATAGGTTTTTGCCTAATTACCCACGCTGACCTGGAATTTGTGGTCTTTTTTCCTCAGAGATTATAGGGATATACCACTGGGCCCAACATTAGGGATGCACTTTTGAAGGACAATGTTGGAGAATCATTTGGCATATCACCCTGATCCAACTTCAGTTACTCAGATGTCATAGTCTCTATAATGTCTGTCTCACTTATTGAGGTATAAAATAGGCTAAGAGGAACCATGTCCCTAGTCTGAGGAATCTCTAAGAGCTTTAGCTCAAAATCACTGGATAAAGAATTTGAAGAGGTTTTGAAATAAGACTGATACCCTTTAAAATATTTGCCAATGATTACTGAGGCCTATCAGTTGGACTTCTAAGGAACAAGAGTGCATCATTTTCAGGGCCATTTTCAACTTCTAAATATATGACAGTTTACCTGAAAATGAAAGTTCAACCTCTGGTACTCAGGATGATTATTGGCAGAAGTAGGAAGCTCTTTAGTCCCCTAGACTTCAGGAGCTGGGGCAGAGTGTTTTAGGAGAGCAGTGGGGGGTGGGGTTGGGTTCACAGTCCAAGACTCAGCTGGAGTAAGAAAAAACAAAATCAAACATGTGTTAGAGACATTAACACTGTCTTGACTTTTGGAGAGTGACAAGTTCAAGTTTGATGCCTCAAAGACTTGACCTCATTCTTTTTATGGATTATTTCAGGGTTTTGGGTTTTACAGACAAAACCTGGGTTGTCTGAAAGGGGGAGGCAGTGGAGGGGTTAACTGAGCTCCTCCACCTCCTCAAAGACAAACCAGTATTAGCACCTGTGAGCAAGGCCTTGTTGCCTTTGTTGCTGGCTTCTTTGTTCAATGTCCAGAGCACAACAGAGTGAGGGTGGTCCAGTTAGGAAATTTGTGTCAACTAGCATCTATGTATGAATCATTTTTCCCCTGCTGGACTTTCAGAATCATCACCTATCCCATTAGCCACGTTAGAACAATTCACTAGCTATGCAGAATATTTTTTATCAAGGTTTCCACAGAGTTTACACTGTGTCTTTTTGTCTCTTAGTCTTGTAACTTTGCATTTTTCTTCTTTGAGGATGGTAGGACCATGTCATGCCTCTCCTCAAAGGTAAATTGGCTTTTGATTGTTATCATGTCCATGAATATCTTATTTCACTCATTTGGGGATTGTGATAATCCACCCTAAGCCCTTATATAACAAAACCAAGAGGACTAGGAAAAATGAATAACATTTACTGTATGGGATGGATTTAATTTCCACTAATTCATGCATGCATTCAATAAATATGTAGTAAGTGAAAATAAAATGCTAAGTTTTTCTAGGTGCCAGAGATACAATAGTGAACAGAGCAGAAGTCAGTGCCTCAGTTAGCTTATATTCTAGTAGATTTGTTTTTTTAATTTTATTTAAAAGGAAAAAGAAAAAAAAAACAAAACAAAGCAGTGTAAGGATACAATTAATCAGAGCTACAAAAAAACAGTAAGAAATCACCAGTTAATAGATTATAGTTATCATCTTAGAGATAGTTGCTTAAGTCACAGTATCAAAACATACAAAATGGACATTCAAACAGTGAGACTGCAAACAGTTGTGTTCAATGATCCAACCAAAAACATTAATATGGTCAT